GGGGAGGAGGCAGGAGTTCCCCCCCCCGGCCCTGTCGCCGTCTGAGGCAAGGGCCTGGGGTGACCCCCCCCCCCCCCCCCCGGGCAGGGCCGGGCGGCAGCGGGACCCTTCGAGGGCTCACCTCCTTCTCCTCCTTGGCCTCCTGCAAGGGGACGGTGGCGCAGGCCTTGTGCAGGGCCAGGCACAGGCAGCAGACGCAGGCGGCGTGGTCTTGGCAGTAGAACTCCAGGAGCTTGTGGTGGGTCGGGCACTTCCTCTGCTGGAGGTCCTTGACGAGGCGGACGAGCTGGTGGCCCCGGAAGGCCGGGCTCTCCAGGTGGGGCAGCAGGTGGGTCCCGCAGAAGGAGGCCATGCAGGTGAGGCAGGTCTTGGCCGCCTCCGCCACCAGGCAGCTATCACAGGCGACAGAGAGGTCCAAGGGCTTCTCCTTCTTCTCCTCCTTCTCCTCCTCTTCGTGGAGCTCCTTGGCGGGAACCTTCTGGGAGGTGCGGAACTGCTCCACCACCCGGCAGAGGACCGTGTTCTTCTTCAGCTCCGGGCGGCTCTCGAAGGAGCTCCGGCACTGGGGGCAGCTGAAGGCGCGCGGCCGGTCGCCCCAAGTCATCTCCAGGCAAGGGAGGCAGAAGTTGTGGCCGCACGGGGTGGTGACGGGGCTCTCGAAGATGCACAGGCAGATGGAGCAGGTCAGCTCCTCCTCCAGCTCCCCCAGGGAGAGGGTCGACGACGACGACGACGCCTTCACCAGCCCGGCCATCTCGGCAAGGTTTGGGAGTCTCGCCTGCAGCCCCGGCCACGGACGCCCTTTAAGCAAGCCGGGAATGGAAAGCGAAACTGAGCCCCGGCGGCGAACAACTTGAGGAGTTTCCTCGAAATCACGTGGGAAGAGCGAGTCAGAGGGCGGGAGGCGGGGTAGGGGTGGGGGAGAAAAATGGCCCATAAGAAGACTCCCCAAAAGCAAACGGGAGCGGGGGGGGGCGTTCCTTTCGGAGCAGTAATCGATCCAGCCCCGCCCGGGTTAGTGTCTCATAGGTAACGGACCGCTCCGCTCCCTGAAGGAGGGAAAATCATACCGCAAAGAAAAAACAGCACAGCTGATGATGGTCTGTCTCCTTGCTTGGCGGTTCCTTTGCTCCGAATTACATTCCTTTTTTTTGTTTCAGCGCAATGTGCTCCACACCCATTCTGGCCACTGGAAAGCAGTGAGGCCCAATTGAATTTTTTGTGACATCAGGGCAGTGGCTCCCGACCTTGGGTCCCACTGCAACCCCCCAGAAATCTTGTCCAGCACAGCTGGTGGTGAAGGCTTCTGGGAGTTTTAGACCAAGAACACCTGGCGACCCAAGGTAGAGAAGGAGGTAGATTTGCAAGTGTGGACAGGCATCAGTCCTCACAGGTATCACACCAGAAACGAGAACACAAAGGTTGATTTTTCAAAGAAATCAGTTGGCTCATTAAGGTGGTAGCATATGGCGATTAAGAGCAAGTGCTGTTGCAGTCATAGCCTAGTTGTGGATTCCCCACCAACATCTGGATAGCCAGAACCAAAACCCAACGCTAATAGACAGGCCTCTGGTCTGACTCAGCATAGTTGCTCTTATGTCCCATCAGCCAGATTTGAAACGAAATATGTACACCTTTGTGGGATCAGTCACATTTTGCCAAGCATGTACTTGTTGAGTAGTGACAAATTCTTTCTAATAATTGTTATCTTATCAATTATGTGCCATCAAGTTGATTCTGACTTACGGTGACCCTTGCCAGTATAGAATACTCAGAAGGAGTTCATCGGTCCCTCTTTCTGGTGGCCCTGGGGGACTTTGCAGCTTGCCCAAGGGCTACACAGGCCAACTCTTCCCAGGAGGGACAGTGGAGAATCAAACTTCCATGTCTTACTTTCCCAGCTATCCAGCCAGCTTGAATTGCTTTTATATATAGCAAATTCAGCTGGTGAGTACTGGAATCCAAACAAAGAACTGGAGAAATCACAGGGAGGCATAACGGGGGACCTCCAGCCAACCAAATGAAGAGAGAACTTGATCAGTGGATTCCTGGAATCTAAAGTTTCTGTAAGAAAAGAAAAACAAAAATCTAGTGCTTAGAGATGGTCAGGGTAAAAATGTAATGAATAAATACATAGCTGACTCAACTTGTGAAGTTGACCATGTTTCTTCTCCTGGGCTCATTTGTTATTGGCCACAATTTTGTATTAGATTCCTGATGCACAAACACCTATAAAAATTATTGTCAGACGTAACTATATAGGTAAGGAAAATACCATGTATAAATCCACCCTTTAATTTCAGCAAGCAATAAGAAAAAAACACTCCCTGCTCAGAGACATGTTTCTATTATGACCTCTTAAGTCATTCATTCTGAGGTTGAAAAGTGCCTAAACAAATGTAGGCCTGCCTACCAATGTAAGAACTTTGTAGGTCAGTATATGCTTCATGGTGTTGCAACCAGTTTGTGCTATCTGGTGACAGGTTCAGCTGGGAGCTTGTGATCTTTGGCACTGCAAACACCATCTGTAGGACGACGTGGACTCTTGACATCAGCCAAGCACGACTGCAAACTAGAGAAAACATCTGCTGATGCGCACTTGGTAACACTATTAATTTAACTTTAATCTGGTTTTAATTACATTCTCCTACTAGTGGCTAGACCAAGTTTTAAACCCAGCTTTCTGATGAAGGCTGCTATGTTTCTGTGTTGCCTTTTCCCCAGCCACACAGCTGAACAGGAATTTTTTGTTTGAAAAGCAGATAATGCGCAGATGCGGCAGGGGCACCATCAGATTGACAGTCCTTTGGGTGGAAAATTCCAACTAAATGTGACCTGCGATGAATCTTGAAACCATATCCCCCCAAAGGTCATATGCAGCCTGTATTTGAACTCGCCTCTCAGATACAGACTTAGCACAACCATCATGAATTTTTGGGACTCTCATTTATAATTTTTCTGTACTATCCTCAAAATATTGGTACATTGCCTGAAGAAGTGGATTTGAGCCACATAGATTCACTGCTTGTTCAATTTTTTTAGTGTTCTAATAAAGGTATTCCTTGCACTTGCATTTGAGCAAATAATAAGAATGTGATAAATTGAATCTTTAAACAGATCCAGTGATTCTGTCCCTTCTTTCCTTGTATAAGGAATTTTTTTATTTTTTTTATTTATTTCATTTATATCCCGCCTATCTAGTCAGTTATGACCACTCTAGGCAGCTTACAACACACACTAAAAACTTAAACTTATAACATATCACATAACATAAACAAATTTGGATAATTAAAAGATAGAATAAATTTTTCCCCAAAGATGGCGAGAAACAGGGTATATTATAACAGAAAGAAAAAGAACAATTAGGCATTAGATGGAAGGGGGAAGGCCTGCCTGAACATCCATATTTTGAGTTGTTTCTTGAAAATACCCAGTGAGGGAGCTGCGCGAAGGTCAGGAGGTAAGTTGTTCCACAGGTGAGGAGCCACTGCCGAGAAGGCCCGGTTTCTTGTTTTCTCCTTCCGGGCCTCCCTCGGTGTCAGGCTCCTCAGCCTCACCTCCTGACTCACCCGGGTGACACGGGTAGAACTGGGTGGGAGTAAGCGTTCCGCCAAGTATCGAGGCCCCAAACCATTTAGGGCTTTAAATGTAAGCGTCAAAACTTTGAAGTCAACGCGGAACCGAATGGGCAGCCAATGCAGCGCGGCCAGAATAGGAGAAATGTGATGGTATCTACACGCTCCACTTAGAAGTCTGGCCGCTGCATTCTGCACCACTTGGAGTTTCTGCGTCAGCCTCAAAGGTAGCCCCATGTAGAGCGCGTTACAGTGGTCTAATCTTGAGATTACAAGCACGTGGACCAGGGTGGTGAGCGCCCCCACATCGAGATAGGGTCGCAGCCGGGCTATCCACCAGAGATGAAAAAAGGCGGTGCAGACCACCGACGCCACCTGAGTCTCCATGGGGGTCCCCCCCCGAAAGAGAGGGAGTTTCCTAAGCCCCCAGGTGTGGTGGCGCCCACCCTCAGTACCTCCGTCTTGTCCGGGTTCAGCCTTAACCCGTTCTCCTGCATCCATTTCAGTACAGTCCCCAGGCAGCGCTGAAGGGACAGGACAGCATCACCTGCAGTTGGTGAAAAGGAGATGTAGAGCTGGGTATCATCCGCATACTGATGACACGACGCTCCACATCCCCTGATGACCCCACCCAGCGGCCTCATGAAGATATTAAACAGCATTGGGGAGATGATCGACCCTTGTGGAACCCCACAATTGAGGCTCCACGGGGCCGAGACTCTCTGCCCAAGCTGCACTCTCTGGGGACGGTCCTCCAAGAAGGAACGGAGCCAGGCAAATGCCAGGCCACCAATTCCCAGCTCGGAGAGCCTCCCCAGGAGGATACCATGGTCGACGGTATCAAAGGCCGCTGAGATGTCGAGAAGGACTAACAGAGAAATTTTTCCCCTGCCAGCCCCCCTCAATAGGTCATCGTACAGGGCGACCAATGCCGTCTCTGTTCCGTGGCGCAGCCTGAAGTAAAAGTAAATTAAATTTAGTCAGTCATTTAGCACCTGGTTACACCCACTTAGATTCAATATATTCCTTTGCAAATACACTTTTGTTTGTTCAATGAGTGGAAGATCTCATTCTTACAAAGAGCTCTGCTCTGGGTGTAGATGATCATTCTTGCAAAACTACGTCAATAAAAAAATGATAGAGGAAGTGATAATTCTAACACAGATCACAAAAAGGAGAAAATGCGAGTACACAACTGTGAGTTCGAAACCTTTGGGTCTCTGTTATTAGGCCACACAAACCAATTGAGATACTGTACATTTCAATCTGAGGTAAAAACAGAGCTGGAAGAAGACAGCAAAAGTGCAAATCCCCTTCACAGGAAAATTCAGGAGGGTTCAGTGAGCAAAGATCACTGGAAGATGAAGTTTTAGAAAAGGTAGCTTGTTTGTGTAAGTCTGTGCTGCCAAAAACAAAAAATAAAAATATTTTTAATATAAAGACAAAAACATTGTGGCACCTTAAAGACTAGCTGCTATATTTTAATGTGAACTCTCATGGACAAGTCCACTTCATCAGATATATGAAGGTTAACATGAGATGCAAAGAAGGGGTATGGCTAGATGGGGAGAGGCAAAAGATACAGGAATCAATGATCACAACACACATGATGCCCAAGTGTAAAATGATAAAAAACATTAGGTATTACTTCCACAGATAAATGGTTGTAACTGGTGACTGACAGACTGATTGCAAGCTTGTATGTTAACTTCTATTTTCTGTGCTGTCAAGTGGCATCTGATTTATAGTGGCCCTAACAGGGGTTTGACTATATTTAAAACTTCTGTCACAGAATTTCATAGTACCTCTTATCTTTGTCATGCAATATTTTTGCAGCACCCCATCAGCAAAACCTCCACTCCTTTGACAGAATTGTGTGTTTTTGGCTCAGGATCTGTCCTACTGAATCTGAAGACTGCATGACAACCAAGGACCAGGTGTTTCCAGCAGGGCGTATGTGCATGATCTGGTGTAGTGGCTTAATGACATCAATGCATGGATGAATCTTCTGAATTACATTCTACTGTGCAAGGGAGAGGTGCTACAAAACATGAATCTTCTGAATTACATTCTACTGTGCTACAAAATGGGTGTGCCTTATCTGCAACTATGACAACAGTTCTTAGTAGACTACAGAAATGTTTCCTTTGAAAGAACATATACATCATTATTTTTGTACTGGTTACTTGGAAGCACTTGTAAGTATTTCTGAACCCTTTCTGTTATGAATTGTTAGTCTGCTGCATTTGTTACTTAGGTTTCAATACTACACTCACCTATTTGAGAGTAAGTTCCACTGAACACAGATGAGTTGACGACTGAGTAAACTTATATGGAACTGCATTAGTCAGCAAGTTTTTTTGTTTACGAACATTCTGCATTATTTTGACAATATGACTATTACAGCAAAACCGGTCCCGCATGTTTATTTGTCACACAAGACGCTGTAAAGTAGGCAAATGCTAGATTAGTTACGTTGCCTGGTGACTTCACATGCCGGCAGCTACAACAGTGGGTACTGCTGAGGAGAGCCGCCATACTAAACAGGGTTGGCATGTATTCCTGTTATAGTGGCCCAAGTGGGCAGGAGCAGTTCTGAATACACAGCTAGCCTTCAGAAGTGAACGCATGAAACTGACCAGAGAGAGACCACCAAGAGGAGAAAAACATTCTGGTTTCACAGGGGGGGAAGAACAAAAATCAAGAGACTCCGAAAAAATGGCCAAAGAGAGTTTAAGCTAAGCTAACCATATAGACTTGTGACAATCAAAGAAGTAGGAATGGTTAAAAAGTTTATGTCCTCTTTTTGGTTTGTCTACTTGAGTGGCCAATCAAATTCATAATGGCGTTTGATCCAGTGGCAAAAAGAAATATTGATTAATGTCATTCAGAACTCTGGTTGTGATTGTGCAGCTGGTGACCCCCAGCTTATACATGACTGTTCAGAAGTCATTCCCACTAAGCTTTATTGTCAAGAAAGTATGTCAACTTAGGTTTTTATAATATCAACTAATGATAAGAGGAAAATTTTTGAAATACATTAGATAATTGGTAAATTGTTTATATTCCTTAGGCCTTGTTACATTAAATAAAACTTTATTTAAAAAAAACTAGTGTAGGTATACTCTTTAGAAACAGAAAGAAAGCCTTTACAAACTATTTACATCTGGGACAAGCATGTTCACATCTGAAGGGGTTCCATTTTTAGGACTTGATTCATTATCAGAAGGATCAACTAATAGTCTTGGCTCAATGAGTGCATTCCAACTTGGAGTTATCTAAAAGAGAAAACAAGTGGTAAGACTCAACACATACATGGCAAGTGCAAAGAAATTTCAGTGACATTAAACAAGGGACAGGCAACTTCTGATGGGTTTGGAGGCCTATTTTTAATCTTGTTTTTTTACCCACAAACTAACATTTAATTGTTTATTTATTTATTTATTTAAAATATTTTTATCCTGCCTTCCCCTTAAAAAAGGGACCCAAGGAGGCTTACATAATTAAAAACAATATTAAAAGCCAAAAACAGTAAATCATTCAAATGTTAAAGAATTAATAACATAATTTTTAAAATGCTATATAATGATATTAAAAGCCAGGTTTAAATATTAAAGAATAAAACTATATTAATATATCAGAACATTATATTAAAATTCAGTTTTTTGTATAGTATTTTAAACTTGTTAGCTTTGTATCATTTTAATCTTTGCAAGCCAGCTTGGGTCCCCTATGGGGAGAAAGGTAGCAAAGAGAGATAGATAACTAGACAGACAGATATTTTGTACAGCCTGCCAAAAAATGACCAATACAAAGAAACAAAAATGGAAGTAACCAGAAATTTGCTTCGAGTTTTGAATAATCCATATCTGTGGGTGTCCCAACACTCCAGGAGAGCACTGAACCTTTTTATTAAGATGACTTTGCTCTCTATGGTGGCTTCCCGGAAGATATTCAACTCATATTTTTTACCTGAGAAAGCCATTTTTGGCAGAGGGACCAGAGGGCTCAGGAGAGCACTTTGCCCACCCTTGCATTTAAACCTTTATATATACAGTGGTGCCTCGCACAACGAGTGCACCGTAGAATGACGAATCCGCACAACGGGGCCGTTCTAGCGATCGCAAATGTGATCGCACACCGACGGCCCCTATGGCTCAAAATCGCAGAGCGAAGGTCGGTAAGCGGTTCGCTTACTGACCTTCGCTTTGCGACCCGCCAATCAGCTGTTCGGCGGCTTCAAAATGGCCGCTGGAAGCCCCAAAATGGCCACGCGCAGCGTTTTCGCGCCCTCGTTAAGCGAGGGGAGGGCGCGAAAATGGCTGCCGGACATGGGAGAAACATCACTGTACGGTGAGTAAAGCTGCTATTGGAACGCATTAAACTAAGTTTAATGCGTTCCAATGGCTTTTTTTGATCTGTACAGCGATGTTTTCACACAGCAAGGGTTAATCCGGAACGGATTAACCTTGCTGTGCAAGGCACCACTGTATATATGACAAAAACACTGCAAACACGCCTTTGTTTAAGAAAGGAGAGCTAACAATACCAATGGACAATATCGACATTTATAGGACAAATCAGCTTTTTCATTGTCAGTATCCAGGACTAAAAGCAGCAGGAAATCCAAAGCTAAAAAGCATAGACAAAATGTCAGCACTTCAATATATTCTTTTATGACTGTTTTGTATTTATTTTATATAAATATATTCTTTATGTGTAGCCAACACATGAAACAATGGCCAAAATCCTATTGCTTAATTTAATACATTGCACTAGAGTAAGCCCACTGATTCAATGGTAATTTGGTGAGTTAACACATCCATAAAGGTAAAAGTTAAGGTTCCCCTTGACATTTAGTCAGTCATGTTCGACTCTAGGGGGCGGTGCTCATCCCCGTTTCCAAGCCATAGAGCCAGCGTTTGTCCGAAGACAGTTTCCGTTGTCACATGGCCAGTGCGACTTAGATTCAGAACGCTGTTTACCTTCCCATCGAGATGGTACACATCCATAGGTTCTAATAATTCAAGTGGGTCTAATTTAATTGTGACTGACAAACACAGTAAGTCACCAGTCAAGTAGACCCATTTGAATCAATTGAACTTATGGGGGAGTTGATTCAATGGCCTACTCTAATGCTACTCACTACACTAAGCAACAGGGTTTTGGCCAGGGTATACTCGTGAAAAATCAAAGTAGCCATATGACTTGAGTGTATAATTTTGTAGAAAGAAAAGTTTGGGTTGAGTACAAGTATATACTGTAACTATTAAAATAGGCAATTAGAATGACAGTTTGATTTGGTACCAAGGAGTTTCTTAAAACATACTACAGCACACATGGATAGCCTGTAGCCATGGGCCAGATCCTGTCTTAAACATCTGCTATGCTCTCCAGCTCATTGACTACCATCTGTGGGAAGTGGAGGAAGAGAACAGACAGCAATTTCTCTGCTGCTAACAGCTACAAGGGAGAAGTCACTTGCAGTAGAACAGCTCGGAGGTCAGAATGGTTTAAGTCTCTCTCCACCTTCACAGTGATCAAACAAACAATCAGTTGGCATCCCACTTGATTTTATCATAATGCATGGACATCAAGAAGCATTCAGAATGCCGTCTTGAAGGTGGTATGATATTGGGAGACAAGAGCCCTATTCTCAAGCAAATAGAACTTGCTTCCCTATTGCAAATGGTGTATTGCTGTTCCGAGGGCAGTTGCATTCTAGTTAATTATTTTTAGAACACCTCGAGCTTATAGAGCAGCTCTGCCTGCTAGAATCAACATTTTGCCCTCAGCAAGGCTTCAGGGCAGATTCTTGATATTCCCTGCCAACCAAGACTTTGCTTGTATAGGGATAGAACCTTTGAATCTTTATCTCCTCTTCTTTGATGTTGTAACTTTTATGTAGAACTGAGAAACCAAGTACAGTCGTGCCCCGCTTAATGATTACCCCGTATAATGATGAAAAAAAATAAAATAAAACATCCCCTGAAAATAAGCCCTAATGTGTTTTTTGGAACAAAAATCAATATAAGACCCTGTCTTATTTTTGGAGAAACATGGAAAATAGTTTTCAGAAGGAAGTCTTGTACTGCTAAGTAATTTCAATAAAGTGCTATCATACCTTTTTATCTTGAGACACGGCATATTCGATTGTTTCAGCTCCATCTGCGGTCTGGTAAACCAGATCAAACTTCCCAGGCTCTTTTGCAACTATAAAAAGCCCACAATAAAATTAAAATCACCTCTGGAGTGCTTATAATGCCACTGGAACTTGTGAGGCAAGTCTACACAAATAACTTGCTCCTTAATCCAGAATTATGCAAAAAATTAATCATCCTAGCTTTAAATGAGAATTACATGCTGCTCTTCCTCACAAGAATCAAATATATTATCACGTTCGGCTATGACATACATTTATTTAAAACATGTATCACCTGCCTTAATCACAAGCTTTCAGGGCAGGTTACAAAGCTGTATAGGGCAATTTAAAAAGATAAATTCTTTAAAGCAATTTAAGAGACATAAAAATTAGAACATTAAAACTATTGCATTACAAAAGCTGATCAGGCCAAAACCCCACAAAGGCTCTAACAAACATGTTCTGACTGGCGTTGAAATGATGCCAACACTGGTCCTAGTTTAAAGCAATTTAAGAGACATAAAAATTAGAACAATAAAACTACTGCATTACAAAAGCTGATCAGGCCAAAACCCCACAAAGGTTCTAACAAATATGTTCTGACTGGCATTGAAATGATGCCAACACTGGTCCTAGTCAAACCTGAAACACCTGAGTAACCCAAGATTAAGAACCACTGTCCTAGTCAAACCTCCAATGGGAGGGCATTCCACAGTTGAGGTGCTACAGCGCAGAAAGCCCCTGCCACCCACATCTCCACATAATGTACAGTGTTCCATGGTGAAACAGGGAGGCAGGGATGGCTCCCCAACAGCAAAACTCTTACCTGATGAAAAGGAAAGGATTTCCAGTTCTAGTTCTGTGTTAGCAGGATTCCAGCTGATAATTTTTCCTTCCTTACAAGATGGGGGGAAAGGATTAAACACTTGTATTTACAAGACGTCAAGCAGAATTTAAGAACTTGGTCTGCACAGACATTTGTTTTTGTCGTTGTTTTCACTCTGGTTAACTATTTTCATAAGGCTATATAACCGGACAAATTACACAAGCCATGTTCACTTACACTCAATCAAGAAACAGAACCCAGGAGAGGGACAGGGACAGAGACAAGCTTGACTTACTAGAAAGGAAAGCAAGGAATCAAGATTAGCTCGAACACCAGTGGTGACCCTGTTGGAAAAACAGGCATTTCACTGCTGCTATGTGGGATAAGCTGTTTTCTATTCCATGGCAACGGGCAATCTAATTTCATGGCCAGGCATCTCATAGAGAAGGGCATGCATATGTGTATGCGTCTATCTATCTACAAACACACACACACAAATATGTTTGTGTGGGTATGTGCATGCACTCATGCAGTTTCCACTTTCCCAATTCTATATGTCCCTATACAATATATATTTTAATTCAATGCAATGGCACTTCCCAGACACCACAGAACTTGGTCTGTAGTATTTAGTCCTATAATCCAGGATCCCAGGATGCAATGCCAGTTGGTATTCTCCCAAAATGGCCATCTGGGATAAACATACACCCTAACTTCTTCACCTACTTTAATCTACATTTAATTATTCATCTGAGTTCTTTTGGAACAGTTGTGCAGACTGGACCCACGGGAAGAGTTGTGGATCAACTATGAACCACAGCTGGCAAAGTTTCCTGACCGCTCCTATTTGCAAGAGGTACCGCTGTTTACCTTCGACATGGTGGCACTGTGGGTTAAACCGCTGAAGCCTCTGTGCTGCAAGGTCAGAGGACCTGCAGTCGTAAGATCGAATTCACGCGACGGAGTGAGCTCCCGTCGCTAGTCTCAGCTCCTGCCAACCTAGCAGTTCGAAAGCATGCAAATGCGAGTAGATAAATAGGTACCACCACGGTGGGAAGATAACGGTGTTCCGTGTCTAGGCATTCTAGGCCATGTGACCACAGAAGATTGTCTTTGGACAAAACGCTAGCTCTATGAGTTGGAAACGGAGATGAGCACCGTCCCCTAGAGTCGGACACGACTGGACAAATTGTCAAGGGAAACCTTTACCTTACAATTAGACAAATAATCTAGCATGTTGTCCAACTGTAGGCATACTTCTGTCGTTTGATTTACTCCCAACAAATCAGAGAAACAAAGGCAAAACTTTCATTTTGTTGGGTTTGAAGCAAACCACAGAAGAAAATGTACACATGTATCTACCCTGTTCCTCTGAAAATAAGACCTAACCTGAAAATAAACCCTAGTAGGATTTTTCAGGATGCTCGTAATATAAGCCCTACCGCAAGAATAAGCCCTAGTTAAGTGAACCCCGCCCTCCACCATTGTGCAGCAACCAGAAGATGACATGACTGTAAAATAAAACATCCCCTGAAAATAAGCTCTAATGTGTTTTTGGAGCAAAATTTAATATAAAAACCTGTCTTATTTTGGGGGAAAACACAGTAGATAAAACACTAAACAGATCTTATTTTGGGGGAAACACGGTAGATAAAACACTAAACAGACCACAGGGCAAAGCTCTGCTACTTATACAAGCAACTGTACCATGTCTGCCAGTGGCTGGGAAGCCAGGCTTCTCATGCATTCCCGATTGTGCCATTCGAATTGGCTCAGTTCTTTTTATCTGGAGTGTAAGTAGCAGGTTTTTGTTCACTGGTTATGCTGTAGTTGGGACTAAACTAGATTTCGGCCAAAGACTCATGATTACCAGTTGATTATGTTAGGGCAAAATTAGAAAGACAATAAATGTTCATTTCCAATGGCATACATTCTAAGTCATTACAAAGACAAGTTTATTTAGGGTCAACGTTCAAAGGTGCTTTTTTGGCCTATGAGTAATCATGGGGTATTTGTATTTGTATCCCTGGGAAAACTGGACACACACACACCCCAAACCACTTACTGGTAGCCGCATGCAGCCGGTATAATTCTTCTCACAACAATCCAAGAAGCAGCCCGGCTGGCACTCCCCCCCGCCTCAGCCGACCACTCCAGCGAGGAGGCCAGATGAAGAGTTTCCCTGCTCAGCTGTTGAGCAGTTGCTTGTTGGGGGATGTAGGGAAGTGTTGTCTGGGCTGACTGGACTGACGCGATAATGACAACGGCTGTGCACACGCAGCACAGCAAGCAGTAAGTGGAGCTAATGGTTTGGGTGGGGGTGGATCCAGTTTTCCCAGACACCCGTGGTGCTGATATTTGTATTCATACCCCCAGGGATACAAATACAAATATCCCATGTCTATCTATGAGCATATGGAGATGCAGATTAAAAAGACACAAAACAGGATTTATATAGGACTACACCTGCTGCCCTGCTCCAGGCACACAACTCTTAGAAAACCTTTGCTTACATAATGTCAAGCATGCTGTCAACAACTGTGCAAAGCAGGACAGTTTTACTACAGCTGTATGACAGACTGGTGGGGTGAGAAGGCTGACCCTGAAGTGTCGGGGTTTGCCTTTCTAATTTGAAATTTAAAAACCAATGACATGCTGACTTACGTCTCTCTTTTCTAATTAGTATTAGCACTGGGAAACAGCAATATGGCAAACACCAATTATAAGCATGTACCCTGAACATGGTAGTGATACCTTGTATCGATAGAGATATACACTACATACATTGCAGCAATACCTTATAATCCGATACTTCAGGAGTGTAATTATCAGTTAGTTCCAAAAGCTGTTGAAAGAGAAATCAGACACTAGGTGTATGGGCTTGCAATCTCAAAAGACATTCTCCTTTCACCTGTTTCTCCCCAATCTTGAAAAAAAAAGCTCAGCAACCCAGGCTCATGCCACTCTGCTTCTGCAATGCTAAACAGAATTCTGTGAGTTGTTTCTATCTGAACTTGGCTGATCTAAAGAACTCAAGGAGATGGCAGCACAGATGACTCTTAACTATAGGTGTGGAATAGGAAGCCCTCCAGATGTTTCGAGACAATAATTATGATACCTTGTTATGGGGTATGATGGCCGAGGCAGACAGACATTGCTGTCCAACAACATCTGGAAGGACACAGGTTTCCCCCATCCCTGCTCTGAAATACATACAGCTTTAGTAGGACAGAGGACTAATCCTAGGAAATATAAATAGGAGAAAGGGGAATTTCAAAATATAAACATGAATGGCCTGGGGAATAAAGGTAATTTAAGCAGTTGTTCTGAAAAGAGGGTGAATTTCAGCTTGTCAGATTTTAGCAAAAAGGTTGCTTCTAATCAGGTTTCGGTGTAATAAGGTACCCAAGTTCAATTCCCAACACGGCATTTTATGTCAGACCTCAAGCTTGTGGGGAAACTCCTGGCACCAATCCGAGAGAAACACAACCCCCCCATCAGGAAGTCAATATTGGGATAGATTAATGGCATAAGATAGCAAGTAATCCTCAAGTGTTTTCCAAGGCTTCCACTGGAAAATACCTGTTTCTGTCTAGGAGTCATTCTGCTTTATTAGCCAGCCCATTGAGAAAAATGATAGTTTGGCCCTCAAACTCAATTAGTAACACAATACTAATGGCAAACCTTAACTGCTGAAAGGGAATCAAATACCACTTCAGTACTAATGCTATCAGCAGGAAGATCTTTCTATCTGCTTCTCCCTCTCCAACATCAGTTGTCATTCCCTGACTTGGTAAGAATAACCTATAAACAATTTTAAAATCTCTGTTTGGTACAGAATACAGACACAGATACAGAAATTAAAGCAGAAGCTTCTTCAATATTCGCTGGTATCAATCTGCTGTTGATCTTAAAAATATAACTTGGTTTCCTTTCAGCCAATGCTGAAATACGTGTCTTCATTTCCAATTAAGTATGTATTGTCTGCTCAAGTAATGAGCCTTGAAATTTGTATAATCTTTTCAGTATTTTTCAAATAATCGTATTTTGCACTTCATGTCTAAACCCCTCCCCCTCCACCCAAAATGGTAACAGATGACTAGAAACAGTTTAATCCACCCAAGTACCCCTGTAAGCAAACAAATGGCTTTTCAAAAGAGCTGGGAAGTCATTTTTTCAGAATACAGTGCCAAGATCTGCAATATAGTTCCGAGAAGCTCTAGGAACTGAATAATGATTCTTCATTTTTGAAGAATCACGTGCCTGGCAGGTTGGAGACTTGATACCCGACTCAAGCAAATGCTAGAGTACATTGTTTTGATCTACCCGCCCCATGCAAGAAAAATACACTAGCACAATCCACCATAACTCCTCCTGGTAATATAAATATTTTGTGTTCTGCTATAGTCATATAGCTGAAATGTGTTAAATATGTGTTTTAAGACTGCATACCTTAAAGGCAATTTTCTCTCCTACTTGTGGAGGGGCAGCAAGTAGAGGAAATTTGCTGTAGTCCTTCTTTGGAGCCTCCAGTGGATTCTATAAAACAGTGATTAAAAGTAATGTAATTACAACAGGTTCTAGGAACATTGCTGATATTATAAAAACAACAACATATCATAGAAGAAAAAAATGCAGAATCCAAGGTCAGCAAAAGAACTTCCATGTTCAGATGCATTCTATTATTATTTACACAATTTATTACTTCTTTTTCATAACAAGATAATCCACAAGGGACACGTAATGCTTAAAAAAACATGCTAAGTTCACACCATGTATAACAACTCTGTTAAAAAGCACTTTACAGAATGTGTTTAAACAAAAGCCTAGATGAAGAAGTCTCCAGTTGCTGCTGAAACCCTGCAAGATCTGGTGCTCAATATAACAGAGGAGGGGAAGGGATTTCACAGGGCGTTCTCATCTAGAAGCACATTGTATCCTTGGCAGGAACAGCACTTTACAGGAAGACATCTTAATCCTCAAGCAGATGAATAAAAGCAACTTGAACTTGGCTCTATAGTATTTTGGCCGCCAGTGCAATGCTTTGGAACCATTACTGTATGTTCCCAGTTGCTGTTCCACTTGGCAGCTTAGCCATAGTATTTTGCAGTAGTTGCATCTTCTGGATCAACCTAAAAAGCAACACTAGTTGAGGCTACTACAGTAATCAAGTCTGAATCACTGCACAGATTCTAGCCCTGTCCATTTGAAGTTAGAATACTAGCCAGAGGTAGAAATGTGCTTCAATTGACAGTAATCGTTCTTGTGGTTATGTGCCTTCAAGTCAGGACTTACAGCAACACTAACAGGGCTTTTAAGGTAAATGAGACATTTAGTGAATGATTTTACCAGCTCCACACTCCCAGTGAGTGTACATGGCTGAGCAGGGGTGTGAACCCAAGCCTCCTGAGTCCTAGTCCATTACTCTATCCTCTGCAACACAATGAGTGTCCATCAAATACTGTAGCCACTCCTTGAGAAAGAGTATAAAGCCAGAACATGCAACCTCCCTAATACTGGATGAGGAAACTGCTTAGCCACTGCCACCATCTTGTCTGCTTTCAGCTTAAATTTACTGATGCTCATCCAGTCCACCGCTGCATCCAGACACTGATCCAAACACTCTAATGTCTCTCCAGGAGTTAGAAAAACCAGCAGGGGACAGAAGGCCATCATGCTCTGCCTTTCCACTTCCAAATCAGGTCTGATGGGTAGCACCAAGAATTAGCAAAACTGCTTCCATCCCCCCTACGGATCACAAAGAGCTTTTCCAAGTTTTTTATTAAAAGGTACAGATGGTGTGTGTGATCACCATCACCAGCCTGCTCTCTGGAAGCTGCCCTTGTCTTTTCTAGAGACATGTGTACACCCCGTGAAGGAAACAGAATGCTCCACAGGTGGACTTTTTTTACAGATAATTTAAGGGCTCAATCCTTTACTTTATACTAATTAGTTCTGTCAAGCAATAAACTAGGGTCCTGCAAACAAAAACAAAGTCACTATCAGACTCACCTGGATAATGATTGAAGTGTTTGTTGCCGCTTCATTTAACTGTTGCTCTTTGTGATGCTGATCATTGTAATTATAATAAAAACTAGTATTTTCACCTCTCCCTCTTCCCCGACCCCTGACCAAACCACGACAGCCACGAACCCTGGGACCTTTCCAAAAGGGGCTTTCTCCTCTTCCACGCCCCCTTACACTGTCACTCAAACTTATGCTTGACCCACAAGTGGCAGCAGGCAGTTGTTGACCACCATCCCTCCCCAAGGGCTGACTGGCTACAATATTGGGCTTTTTAATAGTGACAGTCCCAGATTCTGAACTATCAGAGTCTGAAGAGGAAGTACTAGGTTTGGTTTTTGAAGCTGGACTTGTCACTGGTGCTGCCACAATTCCTTTGTTATTATTTGGTCGTTTATTTTTCAAGTTGCTGCTCTTCTGCTCTTCCTCATCCCCGGAAGTAGAATGTGAATCCGAACTGGAGTACTGAACGTTGGCTTTTTTGCTGTTTGCTGCCTTAAGAGAATTCTTGTCTTTTTGTTTGGCAGCAAGTTTAGCAGAAGAAACAGATGTTACAGAAGGAGCCAGTTGTGATTTGTTTATTTTCTGTGATGCCACCTTAGTTTTGTGGAAGTGCTTTTCTTTTGTAGCTACCAAATTATCATCACTGTCTGATGATGAAGTGGAGGATTCACTTGAGGTTCCACCTTTCTTTGTGCTTGACTGTGTTGTTGTGTTTTCTGCTGTGCTTCTCTGACTACAACTCAAAAGTGAAGTCTTTTTGACCTTTTGTGAAGTGTCCTTTGTTTTAACATTTCTTGCTTTCTTCTTCTTGTCACCATCTGTCTCCCGTTCTTTCTCTCTGTCAGTTTTTTTCCTGAGTTTCTTCAAATGAGACGTATCGTCATAGCTCTCGCTGTGTGCAATGCAATCTTTTTTGATCACTGCTTTTTTCCTTTTCCTCTGTGTTACAGAATCCACAACAGTTCTGGCATCCTCCTCCTGACTGGAAAAATGCTCAAAATTGTGTTTACTCTTCTTTCTTTTCCTATGTCCTTCCTCTTCACTTTCAGACGCACTGGCTTCCAACTTTTGCCAGTGTTGTTGTTTTTGTTTCTTTGACACTTGGCTGAAACCATTGGTGAGTTGATCACAACTGTCTTCTCCAATAACCTCATCCAATTTGACACTGTCAAATGAACAAGGGAAAAAAAGGTGAATATTACACCACGATTACATGTTTTCACACTAAAATTACGCAGTTTCAGTCATCCAGCCTTCAGAGATATAGGCAAATAAATCCTAATTACCTCAACAGGCCTGCTTGCTTCCAGCTTTGGTGTCTTACTTTCCAGTACCAGCCTTTATGCATGCTTACCGGAGTCTGTTCTAAAGGGTCCAGTGTATTCCTCACAATGTATTTAGGTTTGCAAATTAAAGAACTGAGTGTTAATATATTGCAATTGACAGCTTGATTTTCAGTATACTGGTTTTCAAGCCAGCCTTACTGGGTCAAGCCCATCTTACTTCAAACCAGGGCTTGCAGCTCTGCACACACTGGAGTTTCCTCTCAACTAGCCTAATCCTGTGTAGAGTTAGACCTGATGTCCCTTGGCTGGTCATGGGTTCATCCCCATCCCCTTGTATAGAGTGGGGGCTGCAAGCCTAAGCCAAGAGGAGGTCGCCCTGCTGTGGATTCCGCCCCCCCCTCCCCGGCCAGGCCCTCCGACGCTTCTCTTCTTACCGGAGAGCATCGTTGTCCCGCACCAGGCGAGCGCTCTCGGTGGGCGGCAGCAGCGCCCCGTCAAGGAAGAGGCTGAGTTTGGCGCGGCGGCTGAAGCCGAACTTATCCCGGATGAGGCTGATCAGGTCGGTGATGAGGCGCACTTGGCTGGGCTCTAGCAGCAGCCAGCACAGCCCGCATGCCGGACTGCCCGGGGGCGGATAGTCGAAAAGGAGCCGCAGCCGCACGGGAGCCTCGCAGCCATTACCGGCCGCCGCCATCTTGGAAGTGGGGAGGGGGCAGCTGCTACGGCATGCTGCGGGGGACAAGCCAGGTCGTAAAGCGAAAAAGGCGGCGAACCGTCCGGGGTTGGTTCCTTTCCCGACTAGAGCCACCTTCTGGAATCCGCGTGGAAGCGCTCCGGTGGAGAAGGCGAGGAACGGGAGGCGACGGAAAACGAAAAAAAAAATTGATGGTTGCCTAAATGCCGACCCATGTCTAGTTTTAAAGCAGAATTTTAAGAAAGGCCGAGGTTCACTAAAGCGTTCGCATGTTCTTGCACGCTTTATCCGCTTCTGTGGGTAGCCTGCAATAATTTGCCGTGAACAAAAACCGAAACAGCTCCGTTTTCGGGTGGTCTGCTTTTCACATATGAGGACTAGGCAGGAATTCAAGAGGTGCAGCTTTACTCAGAAACCGGCTTGTTTTTGTCTATTTTATTTTTTGCCCTCAGTGCGACTGACAGGACTTACTAGAGACGCATTGCGCCCCTGTCTAGAGTCTCTTATTTCACATAGAGTACAGCAGTTGAAATGCATGTAGTTATAGCATAGTTTCTGCTCACTAGCAACTCTTTGAACATGCAAAAATGAGGGTCTTCGCCACCTACTCTGCATATCTATCTTGTATATTTACTACGAAGTGGAAGTCGTTTGCTGAAAATACAGTACAAGTCTGTTTTTCTATCCGTGAATGGGCCCCCATCACATGCAGATTGGTAAAAGTAAAAGTAAGGACAAGCACAGTGCTGGAAAAGGATTCCCAGTCCCTTGATGAAATGGAGAAAGAAAGAAAGAAAGAAAGACAAGCACAGTGCTGAAAAAGGATTCCCAGTCTCTTGATGAAATAGTGCAGGAGCTCTGCTTTGATGTGAAAATTAAGTGCATTGGTCATATTTTGGTCATCCTCCCCCACTTCTAAAATGGGTGTGTGGAGGTTAACTGGATGCAGTAATTTCAAATGAAGGATTATGATTTTTTTAAAAAAGTATAAGGGATCCTTCAATGTACAAACCATTGCATTTTTGAGTTTTGCATCTTTCCTTCCCCCTTAAACACGAGTGCAGGGCTTTGAGAGGGCTGTTATAATCAAAATGGTTTCTAGAGTAATAGCCCTGTTAATCTTGTGAAGTAAAACCAACAGTTTTTAAGGCACCTTCAAGATTTAACACATTTTATTATGGAACAAGCTTTGAATAATATCCACCAAAGCTTATGCTATCATTTAAAAAATGTCTACCTTTAAAAGGTCACAAGACGCTTGGTTGCTTAGACTGGAGGTGAGCTGAAATAAGCTAACTGTACTTCAAGTTGATCATACTCAAAATAAACTGTTGTAGAAGCTTTATGTTTTTACCTGGAATGTGGAATGAAGCCCTGAGTGTGTATGGCTGCTTTCCTTCAGAATTCTCTGTATCCAAGTCTGATGGATACAGTGGTTTAGGTCTCTGGCTACGGAGCCAGAGGTTGAGCGTTCAATATCCCACTGTGACTCCTTGACAGGATCTGGACTTGATGAGCCATAGGGTCCTTTCCAGCTCTGCAGTTTCTGATGGATACAGTGGTTTAGGTCTCTGGCTACGGAGCCAGAGGTTGAGCGTTCGATATCCCACTGTGCCTCCTTGACAGGATCTGGACTTGATGAGCCATAGGGTCCTTTCCAGCTCTGCAGTTCTCAGATGATGATGATGGTTCAACCAGTATGGCCAATAGTCAGGGACGCTGTGATCTGAAGCCCCCACCACCTGAAGGGCCAAAGGTTGAGAACTACAGTATATTGGATCCAATTGCATCCAGCATCTTGGGAACTTGTCGTTCAGAATATGTGGAGGGAAGCAGATATCGGGGAAAGCTGCCCCAGATCATGGGTATGTCTGAGCTGCAGCTCTCCTTGATCTGATGATGGAACACAACCTCGATTAGTGGGGTGCCTGGCACCATTGCTGAGGAATTACTCATGATAATCTGCTGTGACTAATGACATGCTTTTTCTTTTCTCTAGGTGCAGTGATTCTGTTCTGATGCTAATATTCATGGTCTGTTTCCCTGTGCCTTCAGTGTTCCTGCTGTGAGGCATGTCTGTTTGCTGCCCTGTTGTTTGGAGATAAAGCAGGCAGTTCCTGTGAGTTGGCTCAGGGAAATTTTCTACAGACATGGAGGTGTGTGTGTGTGTGTTTAGTCGTTTAGTCGTGTCCGACTCTTCGTGACCCAATGGACCAGAGCACGCCAGGCCCTCCTGTCTTCTACTGCCTCCCGGAGTTGTGTCAGGTTCATGTTGGTTGCTTCGCAGACACTGTCCAGCCATCTCATCCTCGGTCGTCCCCTTCTCCTCTTGCCATCACACTTTCCCAACATCAGGGTCTTTTCCAGGGAGTCTTTTCTTCTCATTAGATGGCCAAAGTACTGGAGCCTCAGCTTCAGGATCTGTCCTTCCAGTGAGCACTCAGGGTTGATTTCCTTTAGTACATGGAGGTACCTCTGTGTTTCAGGTGGCTTTGTTTTTGGTAACGATGATGGAGGCAGCTGCATGTATATACAGACAGATATAAATACAAGCCAAAGTACTGGAGCCTCAGCTTCAGGATCTGTCCTTCCAGTGAGCACTCAGGGTTGATTTCCTTTAGTACATGGAGGTACCTCTGTGTTTCAGGTGGCTTTGTTTTTGGTAACGATGATGGAGGCAGCTGCACGTATATGCAGACAGATATACAGTACAGATGTTTCTTCTTGCTATAAGTGAGTGTAACAAGGAATTATATGTGCATTACAGTCCAGAGCACACTTGAAGTTCTAGTGAACAGTAACATGTGTGGGAGTTGCCTTTTCTTAGACTTTGGACTTGTGGCAGTCTTGTGAAAAAGCTTGGCCAGCACCAGTTGAAAAGTGCTTGGCATTCAGAGGTCTCACTTTAATCGTGGTGGGCATCAAAGCTAAAAATAAGTGAGCAAAGGAGATTAGAAAAGTCCTTCTCCAGCGGTCAAGGAGACTGATGTTGCAGGACTGGGTTAAGAAAGTCGTCAAGTTTTTCCAGGGAAGTTCCTTGCCATTTGGCACACCTCCACCTCTGCCAGTTTCACCAGTAGCTGTAATCTCCACACTGCGCTGCCCTCCCTTGGTACAAAGTTGCTCACACTCCTTTTTGTCACTCCTCCAGGTGACAGCGTGAAATGTTTACATCCCCTCCTAAATGATCTTGTACAAAACTTACATGAACTGGCTGTGAAAACTGGCTGCGCTTCCCTCACTGAGGCGGAAAGAGGGCGCCCCTGGGCAGGCGGTGGGAGCCAGTTCCCTTTATAAAAGGACTTCATCACTCCCCTCCCTCAGAGGCAGCTGACAAGGAACTAGAGTCATATGACTTCACACTAGGAAATCGCCGGATGCCTGCAAGGATGTATCCTATTTTGATCTTCTCTCTAGTGACTTTGAGTTCAGGTAAATTTTGATGGGAATTGAGAGTTTCAAATGTGTCTATCTGTGTATAAGTCAGAGCTTGTTTTTTTTTAAATGCCCTCTAAGGGGGCTAGTTAGGAGAGATTATTTCCTGTTTCAAACTCTTGCTTGGTTGAGGTACCATAGTTATGCTAATTCTAAATGCAAGTATAAAAGTGGAATTAGAGTGCACCAGTACTGATATTTTAAGGAATTTTAAAATTTGGACGCTGTGTAAACAATGCAGTGGAAAGGGGGAGGAGAAAAAGAATAAACAATGTGTTTCATAGACAGAAGATTTAGAAAGTAAATGCCACTCCTTAGGACTGTTTTTAAAGTATCTTCCTCTGTCTGCCAAGGAAAGAGTATTTAACTCCATCAAAGAAAAGGCTGTTCTTGTTTTGGCTAGGTGAATTAACTAAGTACTTTGGAAATATGAGAAAAGGAGGGGTTAAATAAATGTACATCTTATTTGATGATCTGTCTGCAATCTTGGCCACTGGATACCATCTCAGTATCTCTTGAGTGACTGTACCAATATCATGATTTATTTTATCAAATTTTAAGGCAGTTTAAAAAGTCCAGAAGAAGGGAGAGGAAAAACCTCTTGTCTAGAATAATTGAAAGGATCCTCCCCTCCCCCCATGAGGCTGGGCTTTTTTCCTTAGCTGCAGTCAGTGTAAATTCAGATGGCTGTGTCAATATAATTTTCAGCAAGGCTATCATTTACTGTAGTACAAATGGTCTCCAGTTTAACACAAACTGAAACTGTAAGTTTTAGCAGTGGTCTTAGATGAAGTAACCTGCTTTCTAAGAAGGAAATACCTTTTCTGAGATGGTGTGTGTATGGGTGGCAGCAGGCATGATCCAAGTTGCCTGCTAGGATCACTTATGCTGCATGTGACTCATTCATTCTCCAGGAGACTGGTCACTATCTTATATTTTCTTTTTGACCCCTGAGGGGCTTGAATAGTTACCTGCATAACATTACTGAAAATCAGTGACAACAAGGAATGCAGTAATGAATCTGTTGAAGGTTGTCCCAAGAGAATTGTTAGCAGCTGAGCAGTGGGTGGCAATTTTTTTCCAGAAGGAATTCATTCACAACTTTAACTTTCCACCCACAGATAGGTAGAGAAACTTGATCTGTCTCTTATCCAAAGGGGTTGCATTGCCTTCAGCAGGACAGCTGGGTCTAAGTCATAAGTTGATCCCTAATTAGTGCAGGAAGGTGATGAAAGAAGTTGGATAGTGTATGGGGTGGGGACTACAGAACAGACCAAGGCTCTTGCTTGGTTTCTCCTGCCCATCTGTGTTTATCAACCTGTCAGTCTTGATTAGTGTTGGCAAGCTGAAATCTGAAGATCCTTTTGTGTTAGGCTTCTTATTTGCACAGGAACCAACACTGATTTGACAGTAGCCTCTCCTACACTGTCTTACTGTTTTCAGCTTTTTCTGTTACAGTGTAATGGGTGCAAAGGAATTACTTGTTTGGGCACTTTAGAATTTTGTTACAGTGAGTTTTTTAAAACATCTCAGCAACAATAAAAACTACCTGCTGGCGTTCTTAAAATTGTAGCCATATTAGTCCCCGCAAGCATATCAATAAGAAACACAAAATAAAAGCATAAAAATACATAGTGGCACCTTAAAGACTAACTGCTATATTTTAATGTAAGTTTTTGTGGAACATGTCTACTTTGTTAAATGTAAGGGTCAGAATGCAGAGAATACATGGTAAAACAGGCATGCAAAGCTCTAAGATAAAGGGACAGTGGTGTTTGACTGCATTTCACACCTAGTAATGATTTAAGGCTGCTGTTTGGTATTCAGTTCTTTTATTTTATTATTTATTATATTTTTATATACTGCCCATTTGGCTACTAAGACCAGAACTTCTTTTGAAGCTTATTTCTGTAAACAACAAACAATGATTAAAGGAAACAACAGCAAAAGTATGTGGTAATATAGAGAGTGACATAATTTGCCTTTGAGCCTTGTTCTGAAAGGATGGGTCTGTTTAGTTGGGAAGGTAAATAACAGCAGATGTCAACATAATTATAACATTTGATAATGGCTTAAGAAATCTTGGCTAATATTTAATCCATTGAGATGGGTGTCACAATATCATTGTTTTGTTGCTTGTTGAAATACCTGCTGAAAGAAGCAGAGTGGACAGGGGGAGCAAGAGAAAACAGGGAATAATGCCTGAAAGCAGAAGTGAGGGACTTTAGTTCTCCTGATGTTTTAGACTTCCATTCCCAGGAGCCCCAGCCAGCATGGGATCATGGGGTTTGCAGTCAAAAACATCTGGGTGGTCAAGGATTCTCCACTTTTGCCTGAAAGAGTCAGATTTCTGAGTTGCTGCTGCTTATTAGTAGCCTTAGTCATTGGGTGCTAAGAGGAAGTTCTTAAATGTTTTGCATATGACTCATAACAGGCCTACAGATGGCCAGAATTAGGATGACTGCATATGAAAGAAGATAGGGACATGACTTTCTACCTCTGTGCAAAAGAGGGGATTCCCTAATATGAAATGCCACATTTGCTAGAGGTTCCTTTTTCCACACAGATGTTCAAGGTGTAGACCCCATATATGGTCCCTTTGACCATGTATACCTGTTGAGAAGAAAGGCTCATTCCACAATGTTCAGTGAAACTTCTACTTCAATACCAGGATTCATAGGATTGCATTCCAGTGGTACTGCCTCTTCAGACTATAGGGTGGGGATATTATTTAATGGTTCTACAGGTTAAAAAAGAAATTCGTGCTGCACACCCCCCCCTCAAAATCACCACATCAGAGAAAGAACTAAGAAAGATCGCTTTCCCTGATGTGGTGTATTTCTTCTTGCAGGGACATCTGGGGGAAAGCACACCAAGGTGGTATGTGATTTAAAATGAGAGTCACACTACTCTGTTTTCTCACCAGTCTAGATGGAGTCATAGTTTCCTGTTCTTGATATCGTGTGTGCTCTCAGAAGACAGGAATGCTATATCTTATTGGATTATCGCAAGGTAACACTGTTTTAGGCCAGGAATGCCTGGAGATGATACGAAGCGTAGTCAGTATAGACAAAACACTCTCCTTAATGCTTTCGAGTGATACAATAAGATATTCTGATAGGAGAGAAGATATCTCTGCATGTACACAATTAATATGGAGGTCACATACAGTAATACTCTTCATTCTTTGAAAGGGTATGGACAGGATATTTTCTTTCACAGGGGTCCACAAGAGAGCCACATGCCACCTGCGCCATCCCTCTCTTCTGCTGGCAGTGTTTTTTGATTCATAGTTGTTAGCACTGTACATTTGTAAAGTGTCCTATTTTGGTTCTTTTCCTTTCAGGTTATTTTATCAAGCCACCCAAAGAGCCCAGACAGGCGTGGGGATATGTGCCCGTCAGAAGCAATGCAAGCATGTTCTGGTGGCTGTATTATGCGGACAACCCTGCCCAGAATTTCACAAGCTTTCCTCTTATCTTGTGGCTTCAAGTAAGTTTGGGCAAACCGCAAGGTGGTTTGTTAACAGTGCTAATTTTGTTTCTTCAGCAGCTTACACTGTTGGATACCATTGGCCAGACTCCTGTTGAAGAAATGCAGAGCAGAAGAGCAATGGCATGGGCAGTTTTTCTACTCCTCTGGTGAACTGTCCTACAGGTGGCTAGCATGTGCCCTGTTTTCAAAGGGCATTCTGGCCCATGGCCCCAGCTGTTGCCCATGTATAGCCGATGGAGACAGTCAGAGGAGGACTTAAAGAAACACCATTTCCTGTTCCTGCTTTGTGAGAAGGACCTTGTCCCTTTGGACTTTAGCCTTCCTTTAAATTAAAAGGAAAAAAATGATGCAGATTGTTCCTTGCTTGCTACCCTGAAGCCTTCTGCATTTCATCAGGTTTTTTTCCCTTCCCTTGGTTGCTGTGTGAGAGGTTACTATTTCTCCAGCATATTAGTACACGTGGTGCTTAACAGGCAATAGGGGAAAGAGGCAGATCTTTGCCCAGTGTAAAATACCTGTGTGAATGTTGAAAAGGAGGGAGAAAGTGTAAGGCAGGTGAAAAGGTGGCAAGGAAAATGAAAAACGAGTGGAAAATAAGGCATGCATAAAGTTGCCAATATTTTTCAAGTAATCCTAACTGTTCTATTGGTTACAGCAATTTAATCTGCAGTGGATAGTATGTAAACCTGCCTATAAAATAGATCTGAATGTTATCACTTGCTAATTGCGTAAGAAGGGATTTAGGGGGAGGGATAATTCTCTCTGTCTGTTACAGCAAAAATGACAAAGTCTTGTAGCACCTGAAAGAATAAGTTTTTATTTTGCACAAACCTCTGTGGACTACAGACAGCTTCATCTCATGCTTGGTGTCTGGAAACATCTCTCCTTTTGCTATACAAAGGCAAGAGTAATTAATATCTTTATAGGCCACTAAAATATATATATATAGAATCTGTGAGCATTCATAGATCAGGACCATCCTCTTTCTCAGGCTTGTACTGGTGTTTGTTGTTTAGTTGTTAAGTCATGTCCGACTCTTTGTGACCCCCATGGACCAGAGCACGCCAGGCCCTCCTGTCTTCCACTGCCTCCCGGAGTTTGGTCAAAATCATGTTGGTAGCTTTGATGACACTGTCCAACCATCTCGTCCTCTGTCGTCCCCTTCTCCTCTGGCCCTCACACTTTCCTAACATCAGAGTCTTTTCCAGGGAGTCCTCTCTTCTCATGAGATGGCAAGAGTATTGGAGCCTCAGCTTCAGGATCTGTCCTTCCAGTGAGCACTCAGGGTTGATTTCCTTCAAAATGGATAGGCTTGTTCTCTTTACAGTCCAGGGGACTCTCAAGAGTCTCCTGCAGCACCACAATTCAAAAGCATACATTCTTCCGCGGTCAGCCTTCTTTATGATCCAACTCTCACTTCCGTACATCACTACAGGAAAAACCATAGCTTTGACTATGCGGACCTTTGTTGGCTAGGTGATGTCTCCGCTTTTTAAGATGCTGTCAAGGTTTGTCATCGCTTTCCTCCCAAGAAGCAGGCGTCTTTTAATTTCCTGGCTGCTGTCCCCATCTGCAGTTATCATGGAGCCCAAAAAAGTAAAATCTGTCACTGCCTCCATATCTTCCCCTTGTATTTGCCAGGAGGTATAAATAACTTTAAAGGCCAAAAGTTCACAGCAGGATGGATTTTTTTTGCCAGGCAGTTTTTTCTTTTCTGATGGTATGCTTTTGAAATGTACTTTTCATGTGAAATGGATGCAGCCTCAGGAAATGTCGGAGGAAGACAACCGCATGGTGGTGCTTCTGTGCCTTTTGCTTGGATGACAAACACTCAAGGGTGTGGGTGGGTGTTTTTAAAAAACAACCCAACAGTAATTGCATTGTGAAACAAATAGGGAAGTGGCTTTTTTTCTTTCAACAAAAGTAACTGCAACAGTAACAGACTGCTTTGGGGCCCTTGGCGCTATAACATTTCATCTTCAAGCTAAATATATTACTTCTGCAACTCAACCTGTGAATATCACTCTTTTTGTTTTCTGCCATAAATAATGGCGAAAACATTCTCCTGGTTTGATTTCCATTTCTGTATGTTGGCTAGGATTGCTATCTATTGGAGACAAGGCAGCAATCCATGAAGGAGATGTTGGCTAGGATTGCTATCTATTGGCCCAGGCTTCTGTGTCTCTCCCAAGCAGGGATTCAGTGGCTGACTTTCCCACATTTCATGTTCATGCTGTGAAAAGCTGCACCTGTTGAAATTCTGCTTGTCGCAATGCTAAAGGCACAGAGCTCCATTTCAGAGAAAAAGGCAGGGGAAAGAAGAGCTCATGTTATGGTAACACAACATGAGGAAGAATATTGCATGTTTCTGCAGAAAGCAGGTAGCTCATCAGCTATAGATTTGCTCTGTGATCATGGGAGAGACACTTTCCACCTTAAACAAAAGCCCCTCCACTGTCTCCTTTCCAGGCTTTTGGTGGAGATGAAGAAGGAACAGAGTACTGTAAGTGTTTGTAATTGTATTTTTACCCCTCCCCTTCTTGTCTCACCTGCTGGGTTTCATAGGGAGGCCCAGGGGCTTCAGGCTGCGGATATGGGAACTTTGAAGAGATCGGTCCATTAGATGCAGATCTGAAACCCAGAAGAACCACTTGGGTATGTATGGATTGTGGCTTATAATTGGATACAACTTTTCTTTGGTGGCTAATGATTTCTGAGTTGAGTGACATAATTGTGTCATTAAGCTAGGAAAACAGTGTTCCTGGCTTTTTTCAGGTGACCTGTTCTTCCCAATCCTATCCAAGAGGTGCCATTACAGTAGTGCTAGACTGTGATGTTTGTGCTCTTATCTGTTTAGTTCATAGCTTTCTTCATCCTTCCTGGGTATTTTTTCTACTAGCGGCCCATTTGTGCCATTGTTCCTTAAACAGACAGTCCTCTTATGTCCAGGAACCTGGCAAACTATAACTTAGCAAGTGAAAGAGTATTTGGGGTAATTACCTTCACAGCAGGAAAAGCGTCACTCTCAGTTCCCTGTGTTATGCTGGTGCTATTAGTCACCAATGTTTTGATTTTACCTTCTGTCGGTCTTACAATAATAGAAAATGCCAGTGTTCTTGTATACACTGGAAGTCACACTGCAGTGAAAACAAGTGCATTTTAAGAGCATTTAAAGAGTTTTCTTTATGTTTACGCCTTGCCTGTCTGCTGTAAAATATAAAAATAAGAACCTGGATCAGTACAGTGTTTTGTGGCAGAGCCTTTAAATTTTGGGTTAAATTTGTTCAGCAGTGCCAATGGAAGTGCAGGGATTCCCACCTCCTATTTCCTAGTTAATCCACCCCTTACTCCTTAACTGGCACTTACAGTCTCAATGACTCACTCTGAACAGTAGAAAGAAATAAAAATGTTCCATTTATTTCCAAATGTGAATATATCAACCACAAACTAATAATCAGTGTGAGTGGGCCCAGGGCCCCCTTCCATGCATGGGTCAGACAAAGCGTCACTGCAGAAGTTATTTTTATTGCCAAATACAAATATAGCTGCTTTGGGCTGTTAACAAACATACATTGCTTTCAGTGGACACCATGGAGTTTAGTGTTCTCCCAGACAAACAGTGGCTCCCACTGAGAGCCCTTACCAGCGCATGTCGGGGTGGTGCCCCAACACGTCTTTCACCTCTAGCACTCCTGGCAAATAAGCTGCTCATGACAGCAAGGCCTTTCTTAATGTCACGGCTGCTAACTCATGGGCATGTGTTATTGTTACAAGCTAATTCTGCTTTCTTTTGGTGTGTTGCAGCTGCAGGCAGCAAGTGTGCTGTTTGTTGATAACCCCGTTGGCACTGGGTACAGTTATGTGAATGACACCCTGGCGTACGCCACAGACATTTGCACTGTCACTTCAGATATGATGGTACTTCTCAAAGAGTTCTTTGCATCTAAGACAGAATTCCAGGCAAGTACAGTTTGCCATTTGCTTCTCGTGGCCAGCTGAAGGGAGAATATTTACATTATAGGTGTTCTGTGGTTTCCAGTTGTGCTGGAGGTAACCAGCTGAACCCATAGCATGGAATCAGGTTACCTATACGTGTCATCTTGAGAGCAACTTGCACATGAGGACTGTTGTTTACAGGGTTTTTCCTCCCCTTCCTAGTGAGGCAGATTGGGTGATGGATCATTGTACCAGGTGTTTTCCCACCCATCCTCACCTGTACATTTGCAACAAAGTAGGAAAAATTGCCTAATGATCTCCACTTTTAAAATCACATTTGTTAATTTTCTAGCCCCAATTGTTGTGCAGAAAGGCTTGAAAAAGTAAAAAAATCACAGTGTGCTGCCTATATACCACCTTATGGTGCTTAAAGGTTTCTCTGTGCAATTTTACAATTGAATTATGCAGGCTACCCATTCCCCCACCCCTGGAAGCTGAACATTCACTTTACCAATCTCGGAGGAACTGAAGACTGAGTCAACCTCAAGTCAGGTGCTTGAGCCTCTTGGGATCAAACTCAGTTCGTGAGCAGAGGCTTGGCTGCAGTCCTGCAGTTTAACCACTGCACTATGAGGCTCCTTCTGGGCATTTCCTGGTGAACTTTCCAAAGGCGGCACAGGAATGAGGAAGTTCTCACCAAGTCCAATTCCATGTGTTGCACTTAGTTTGTTCCCTGTCCCTTTTGACTGGTTTTTCTCCCCATATCCTTCTCCCTTAATTTAACGTCTGTGTGGTGGACGCTAAAGACGATCAGGGATTCACATGCCTGCTTCCTCAGCTATGAGGCTTATTGGGAAATACTAGGCTGGGCGATGGGCTCATTCTAGTTCACAGGGCCTGTGTGAGGAGAAAGTGCAGGAACGAGGTCCCTTGAGCTCATGGTAAAAATTCATAAAGTAAAATTGCATTCCTCAGTTTGGGGGTAAAAAGGAAAAGAAATCCTGAAGGTTTAAGATCATAAGCAACTAACATTATTTCTGATAGGTATTTTCCATTGTAACATGCCCAAATAGAGCATGACAGGAAATGTAAACAACTCCCAGAGTACCTGCTCTTATGACAGCAGAAGCAAGTAAAGACTACATATTTGAATGGTTTGATTTGGTTTGTGGAAAATGGGAAAAAAACACACCTTAACCTGTTTTTATGCAACTTCTTTTGTAGAAAATCCCTTTCTACATTTTTTCAGAATCTTACGGAGGGAAAATGGCTGCTGCCATTGCTTTGGAGCTTTATAAGGTAAAGCAAAATCTTCCCTGTTAAAGAGAATAGATTCTTGCTGGGTAGAAGCTTATCTGTATCTTCAACAGTCTCATGATGATTTAATATAATATATGGATGATGCAAAGTTTTGAAATAAATGCTAGATCTTGAAAAGTTAAAATGCTGCTTTCAATATGTTTTAAAAGGCTAGACGAACCAGTTTCTTTATCCTCCCGTTAATGGAAACTAACCATTTTAATGTTACTGTATTAATATTAATGCATTTTTTCCTAAGCTCTGGTACCACATGCACTTTCCAGTGGATTTTTCACCTGTAGCTTTTAGATCGTGCATAGAATGCTGGAGGGGGACCTGGGAGAATCCAGGTTGGAGTCCCTACTTAGCAAGGGAATTCAGTGAATGGCCTTGAGCCAGTCACTCAGAGCAGGACTCGCCTCCCAGGGTTGTTGTTGTTGTCAGGACAGAGTACAAAGGAGGAAAGCAATGTTATGCCTCTTGGGAAGAAAAGGGGGGATATAAATGGGGCAAACAGTAAATGATGGTCTGAACCTCTCTTTTCAACCAGTCATCTGGTTTCCACCAACCTAATGCCAGTCTGATGTTTAACAACTCTCACCAGCCTTCACTGCACTGCTGAAAGGGGTGATGGGAATTATAGTCCAATACCTGTGACTTGCATAGAAATTTACATCACCATCTTAAATGCTGCGTTTCTCCCTGCTTCTCTCTAAGTTTTATATTAAAGGAGGGATTAACCACGAATGTGTGCTTCTTATATGGGGCATTTGAGACTGTCTTATACCAAGCTGGATCACTGGTGGTTCTGATCTAGTGCCTTCTGCTTTGTTTTTTACTCTGCCTGGTGAGAGCTCTCCAGGGTTGCACATTGGCCTTTGCCAGCCTTTCTACCTGGAATGCTTAAGACAGAACCTGGTTCCTTCTGCATGCAAAGCATGGCTTCTAACACAGGTGTTGCTGGGACATCGCACGGGGTAATAGCTAGTGAGCATCCACTACAGCCACAATGCGTCTGTGGAGGAACCTGGTTTTCCACTGTTTGGTCTGAAACCACACCAGAAATCTGCAGATAATGGTGTTTGTTTGTTCGTTTGATTGTACCATAGAATTTCCAGGACTAAGACATAATGTGGACCTGTTCTTGAATACAGTGCAAGCACTAGCAAATTGCCTTGGCCACACGTAGAATTTTTCAAGAGTGGTTGTGGTGGAGAGGGTTGAGTGGCACCTTGAAGACTAGCAGATTTTGTTTATCCAGGAATTTTGCTGACTGCAGCCCACTTTATCATATGCATGGAGCATAGCATCCAAATGTTCAGATCTATATTCACTAATAAGCACACATTTTTTCTTTCTCTGTCTTTTTTGAAAGGCTGTTGAAGCCGGGACAATAAAGTGCAACTTTAGTGGGGTAGCCCTTGGTGATTCATGGATTTCTCCCATAGGTATGTGAATGGGAATCTTGGGGGCATGTAAATGTCCCCTCTTTTATGTTGGGGAAGTATGTTTACGTGACTTACTTTTTCCACCCATTGGCAAAACATTCAAACGATATCTCTTCTGTTTGTGGAAAGCGTGTGCTGTTTCATTTTGTAAATGTTTGGATCTTGCTTTGACTCTTCAATGTGGCACAGCAGATAAACATAAGTGGTAGGAGAGTCATTGCAAGCTACTTAAAATTCAGTCCTATGCGTACCTATACAGATGTGAGAAATGATATTAGCTGTACAGTATTCTGTGTATTCAGATAGGCAAGTACGTCATCTATAATAGGTGAATGCATACTTTTGGAAGCAAGAGTTCTAAACTGTGGCACGTTACTTCCATCTACTTTTTAAAGGGTACATGTACAGGAAAAGATTTTGAAGCTTTGTGACCAGTGTTCAATCACACTGTTAGGAAAGTTTCATGCATCATGACTCAATTTTAATCTCTCTCTTTCTCTCTCTCACACATTTCAGATTCTGTGATTGCCTGGGGGCCTTACCTTTACACCACTGTGAGTAACTCACCCGGTGCTCTTTGTAGCTATTTTTAAGAAAGATATGCTTTTTCACATTTCATGGCAGTTTGTGAACTGAAATAGATCTAGCCCAGAACTCCTCTGTCTCCCAAAAGCGTGCATCCAAATGCTCCTGAAATGTTTAAAAGCTGTTTGTCCCCAGCATTTGGGAGAATTACAGCCAACATGTCTGCTCTAGGATACAATAAATATGTATCTCATGTAACTACTGTATAAATATGGCATACAACACTTTTTTTTAAAAAAAAAGTCTAAAACACAGAATTTGATCATGAGCAAATATGCTTCTCACTTCTTGTTTGTCATACCAGGTGTAATTAAAAGTAATCTGTAATAGTAAGTCACAGTAATTTGTTTTGATTTGATTGATCTGTTGAAATTAACAAACATTGCTTCCAACACAGTGATACATTATTTAAAAACTTGTGTTCCTATTGTGACTAATGCAGCTTGGTAAGAGAGACGCTCATACTCCTCCAAAGGTAAATACTAAACTTCTGATTTAGTTTTGGTCTTTTTCTTGCCTGCATTGCAGTCTTTACTTGATGATAAAGGTTTAAAGGAAGTGACAACGGCAGCCAAAAAAATCCTGGATGCTATGAATAAAAAGGAATTCAAACTGGCTACCTTGCTTTGGAGTAAGGCAGAGGACATCATAGAGAATGTAAGTGACTACTCTATAATGAACTGGGATGGGCACATAAACCGCTTGAGAGGGGGAAAAGAGTTTTGAGAGAGGAGTCTTTTCATGTGGCAGGGGTCAGAAATAAATACAGTACTTGTTATTTTTACTTATATACCGCCACCACTTTGTCTTTATTAATTGTTTTTGTGCTGTTTTTTAGTGGATTGATATGTTTAATGTATCCTTGAAGGTTTTCACAGCTGGGATCCGATGGTTGTTGTAGGTTTTTCAGGCTGTTTGGCTGTGTTCTGGAGGTTTTTCTTCCTAACGTTTTGAAATAGGATTTCATGTCCAGCTTGTTTCAGGGCATGTTTAGCTACTGGCGATTTTTCTGGTTGTTTTAGTCTGCACTTTCAAAATACAGAAGTACTGGACAACACCAGCAACCATTATGGTAGACTACACTGGGAAACCATTGAAATCCACAAACATCAGCACAGCTTCGACAAAAAAGAAGAAAGTCTAAAACTCAACAAAGTCTGGGTTCTAGCACTGGAAAATAGAGGCTGCAAAAAGGTCAGTGAATTCTACCCAGCCACAAGGACCGGTGATCACTGCACACAAGACTAGCTAACGACACTCATCAATCACAGTGACAGATCATCCCCCCCTTATCACAACAATACACCCGTAACAAAAAACACCCTGATCACCATAATCACCCAATCTCCTGAAAAGGACAAAAAGCTGATTCCATAGCTACAAATACTCAACTATCCCACACACTACACCAGAAGACAAAGTTCTAACTTCTCTCCTCTGAAGATGCCAACCACAGAGACTGGCGAAACATTAGGAAGAACAACCTCCAGAACATGGTCAAACAGCCCAAAAAACCTACAACAACTAATTGATATGTTTAATTTGATTTTTTGTATTATTATTATTATGTTTTGTGAATTTATTTAAAGTGGGATGGATGGATGGCATTTAGAGCACTCTCTGGGCTGTTTACAGCTTAATTATTCAAACAGCAACTTGTTCTCTCAGTGAACTGGGTACTCACTTTACCAAACTTGGAAAGATGGAAGACTCAGTCTACCTTGAGCTGGCCAGAATCAAACTCAGCTCATGAGCATAGGTTTGACTGCAGAATTGCAGTTTAACCACTTTGCCATGGGGCTCAGTATGATTAATTTACTAACTATAATTACCATAATTTGCCTGCCTTGAATTAGCTGGTCTCAAAGACACACTGAGGACTGGTTGGAAAGGGGAATGAGATTCTGTAGAAAATTGTATTTTCAACTGACATGCAAAAATGAGAAAAATCATACCTATCTAAAACATATCTTGTGCACATCTATTAAAGTTATAGGGATCCTGCTCTCCTTTACATCTTCTAATTCTGAAGTCAGGTTGGTGTGGTGGAGCGGGGACTATGCTTCTGTTATACGGTGTAGCTTGATTGATTGAAACAACTAGATGGTGCATTAAAAGTACCTTTCAAACTTCAGGCTCTTTTAAGTTTTGTTTCTGTTACGGCATCTGCAATGATCTGTGTGATGCAAGTTGTTCTATAAAGGCTACATGCAGAGCCTGGAAAGTTATTTTTAAGATGAATGGATGTCAAGACGTGCTGAAGCTATCCATAACTGAGCCGTGGTAAGGTGATGATCTTTCCCCTCCCTCTGCCTATGGATACACTTGATAATGCACACTGACATATTTTACTCAATGGGGGGAAATTCAAACCTCAGGAGGAATGCATAGCAAGCTACACACGAATTCCCATGCAGAAAGAAAAAGAGCTAGAAGAACTCTTGCAGGATAGAATTGGACTGAGGTAAAAAAGTTAGTGGAAATATGAAAAAAACCCAATGGGGGAAAAAAGCAAAGAAGATGGAGGATTTTTATATCCTTGGTTGCTGGAGGTTATAAAGGAAACCCAATGTTATTGAAAGGTGTTGGTTTCACTGCCCTTAGTCTCTATCCTCTTTTTTTTTCCAGAACACAAATGGAGTGAATTTCTACAATATTCTGACTCAAGAGTCAGAAACTGCTTCAAGGAGTCTTACATCCACTCTGAGTGAAACACTCCCATTCAGTAAGCTGAGAGACAGAGAGAGCTCTGTGGGAAACTCACTTGTTTAAAGGGTTTTCTCCTCCCCTTCTTTCTGGAAATTGCTTTGTAGTAGGGATTGGTGTTTTTATTTAAAAGATCAAGGGCATTGCTACTCTGCAGATGTTCAACACTGAACCTCTCCTCCACAAAAAGCCTTGGGAAGTATAGCTTGTGGAGCTTGTGGGGCATCAGATCAATAGAATATGTTTTAGTTTTAATATTTACTATTTCATAAATTGATACAGCACTTACAGAGGACAGCAAAACAGAAAACAGGGTACAGCAATGAAATGATAATTATCAGTGCTCAACCTCAGGAGGTGCATACAATACATTATGCCCATTTTGGAGATCACTTAGACTGTATGTTTTTTAAAAATGAAAGTGGTAGGTAAATGATGGGTTCTTTTAAACCCACCCACCTCTTTTTGCAGTTTATTTCAGGTTTATGATGATAATGGGGAAAGTATTTGCAAGTAAATGGGATTGTGGGGAGAAAATTAAATTTCTGTGCCCACCTTTTTTTTCACTGTAAACTCTTCCCTCACCATTTTCAGTTGTGCACAACTCTAAATACGAGTTCTTGTTTAGTCTCGTATTGTATCTTGTTTAGTCCCCACTGTGGAAAAATCACAAGCTAAACAAGGTACAGAGAGGGTTTTTTTTAAACTTGTGCTTATTTATTTAGGAGCGTGATTAATTTTCCCATGCTGTGTTCCTTACATCATCATCTTGTGTATTCTGTCAACTAAATCAATGGAGGAAGAAAGAACTGGTGGAGCATGTTAACGTAGGCTCCTCTTGTTGGATTCACAGCCACATAACACGATCTGTTCTGAAACATGAGATAGTCTGTGCTTTCAAGAGCCCTTTCATTGGTTTTTCATATTTAAGTCTCCCACCTTCCCTTTTCTGAGCTCAGGATGGTGTACCTACTGTAGGTCTCCTTTTTCTCTCTTGGTCTTCAAAACAACCCTGCAAGGTAGATTAGGCTTTTTAAGAATACAGATGCCCCAATGTTGGTCAGTGAATTTCTGGACTGAGTGGAGACTAACACTTCGCTTGTCCCAAGTCCTTGTCCAACACTTTTAACTGTTACCTCAGGCTGGCTTTTGGTGGAGACTGGGAGCCAAAATGGCCTCTGCGGATTTTTTTTTTTAACAGAAGGCTGTCACCCACTTTGATCTCCCTCTCCTTTCACCAACTCTTTCAAACTGAAAGAATGATGGGATGCAAAACAGTTGTGGAGGAAGGAGTGTATGTTAACTGGGTGATGGGCCACCGTGACCTTGGGAGCTGAGTGGCTTCTATACACCTTGCAGTTGTACGGATTGCATGACAGACAGCTGATGATCTGTGGTCTTCTCTAGTGTTAAATCTTGGTTTTCATGGGTACCAAGTAAATACATTATTTGCTATCTAGTTTTGATTCTGCTATTTTTTGCTCATGAAATGTTTATTACTATCCTGCTAGATAGACTATAGGGCCCTATCTCACTGTGGGTTTTTTTTTTTAGTATTTTAAACAAAACAAAAAAGTTCCCTGAAGTTCTTAGCAGAAAGATAAAGTAATAGACTTTTTAAATGAAAGATGTCCTCTCTCTGAACAAAATGCCTAATACAATCTCCGATAAATCTCTCTTCCATTTTTCCATTTCTTCAGTAAAGCTCTTCCAGCGTCATGTGCAATACCAAAATAAAGACAAGCTGAGTGACTTGATGAATGGGCCCATCAGAAAGAAGTTGAAAATAATTCCAGACCATGTCAAGTGGGGAGGTACTGTAAAATCTTCTGCATTGTATATAATGCCTGTCTAGTAAGGCGAATAATATACTTCTATACTCCAATCTACTGGAAAATATGGGGCTCAGCTTCTGATTAAAAATAAATCATCAGTGTCTCTCTTTCTCTCTATAGCTATCCTGCTTTTGGGAGACTAGAATTACTTAGTACCAGTTGTTATCATGAGTGGTACATTCTATGAGACAGATTAGTTTGAGGAAAACATAGCAAAGTATCCCTATTCACCTGTTTTAATTTTTATTGATGTGCTGTTAAATCTGTTCTGAACTATGGCAACCCCTTCCAGTATACCTATACGCTAAGTAGAGAGTACTTAGAAGTAGTTTAGCACTGTCACCTTCTGAGACCCAAGGCCACATAAGATGGCCCTTTTCTCCTGCAGCACAACAGGACTCAGACTCCACAGCCAGGTTATCTGGCTCACTGAGTTATTCACTACCAGCGGCACACTATTTTGCCTGCATGTCATGTGGGAAGGGACAGCAGCTCAAGAATTTGCACTGTGGTTCAGGAGGTGGAAGGATTATGTTGCCGAATTAACAGGATTTCATGGGGGAGCAAGAGGCTTGTTCTGCTTACAAGATGGAGAAACAATTTCAGATAACTACTCAAGAAGCTGTGGGAAGGCGACGGTTCTGTATGTTTTGTAGAGCATAATTTGTTTTTATTTATGTATTTAAAATATTTTAATCCTGCCTTTCTCCTTAAAAAGGACTCAAAGCTGCTGACATCATTAAAAGACAAAGCTAAAAGCAGCAAGTATAGATAGGTATGAGAACCACACTTAAGGCCCAGTGAGGTGGGGAAGAGAAGCTTTTTCTAAAAAAAAAAGGATGGCATCAGCTTCTCTCTAGTGGTATAAATCACACTAATAACCCCTTAGCCTTGGTTCTCCAGTCTTAGTATAGAACCAGGCGTTGTGAAGGAGAGCAGGGATCCTGTTTAATAGGCCCTGATCAGGAAGCTCTCCTCAGGAGCTGTAGATACAGGAGATTTATCTATACTGAAGGCTAACAGTGCCATAGACATAATGCCTCCTGAGGCAGATCAGAAAATGTCTGTCCCCTTGAGAGGTTACATAGTACTGCAATTCTGGTAAGTGATTTTGACATGTGAGGCAGAAAATCTTAGATAAGTGTGTTCAGGACAGCTTCTCAAACAGATGCCAAAGACGGTGTCAAATGAGGTTCCAGAATCGGACAGTCAAGACATGATCATTGCAACTGGTGTGTCTAGGTTGAGACCCTAAGTCTGGTTGGAGGAAGAACTAGTGTTGATTGGCAACCTTCAGTCCTGGTTAGGAGTGCTGTAAGAATAGCTGCAGACATAGTACTGCAATTCTGGTAAGTGATTTTTGACACGTGAGGCAGAAAATCCTAGATAAGTGTGTTCAGGACAGCTTCTGAAACAGATATACTTTGAGAATGTCAGATCCCTCTGAGGGAGGTAAGATAGGATAAACTTGTGCTCAGGTTTACCACTCCCTTTTCCTTTTTAAGGGGTCATGTGAGCATTATATGGGCCCCTCAGTGTGAATGCTGCTTCACAAAATATAAGTATTTTTCAGGAATTAAATGTTTCTGATTTCTCCCCTGAAGGTCACAAGGCACCCGGCAATCACCTGTGTTGTTGGGAAGTTATCAGGGGCTGCAGGATAGGAGGAGGGAGGGAAGTCTTTAATTATGAAAAATCACCACTAATGGGATGATTTTACTGCCCAGAGGAGCTAGCAGGCTAAAATGCACATATGTGACAAAGCCCTTACTGGTATATAAAAAAAGAGCCATCTCTTAAAAGGGCATGAACGGTGTAGGAAGTCAGACTGTTATTGCGTCACATCATTAATGATGTCAAAGAGGGTGTCAAATGAGGTTCCAGAATCGGACAGTCAGACATGATCACTGCAACTGGTGTGTCCAGGTTGAGACACTAGGTCTAGTTGGAGGAAGAACTAGTGTTGATCAGCAACCTTCAGTTCTGGTGCTGTAAGAATACCTGCAGATGGCAGGAAATCAGACCAAAGAACTTCATATTTGTGAGGCAGAGCTTATTGGGATGTTTTAGAACATAGAGCTATGAAGATTGTAAGCTACCATTTCCCAGAAATCAGGATTCTCCTTCATTCACAACCACACTGAAAAATAGGGAGGGAGGAGATGGTCACTGGTTACCCGTTGTTAGAGAATAAATATATGTCAGTGGCTGTCCAGATTTCTTCCGTTCTTAAAAAAATGTTGACCATCTCTTTGGTAGAAAATCCTACCAGGACCTTACAGCCTAGAACAAACCACTGCAAGTTATCCTGCCTGTGTTTTTAATACTTACAAATGATCCCAAATCCTTCTTCCTTCTAGGTCAGTCTGAAAATGTGTTCATGAATATGGCCGGAGACTTCATGAAGCATGTGATAGACACTGTAGATGAACTGCTGGAAGCCAACGTCAATGTCACTGTTTATAACGGGCAGCTGGATCTCATTGTTCCTACTATGGGTGAGGACCTTTTCTCACAGGGGTGGGTGGGTCACCAGAAGCACGGACAAGGACAGTCCTGCTGGGCATCATTGTCTTCCAGACAAATGCATTTGGCACAAAGCAGCGGTCTTCTCCAGTGTACTCATGTGACTCAAAGAGACTTGAGGAGGAATTGAAGGCATTGTTTTACAGAAATATGCTGTAAGTTGCGACTTCACCAGAAACAGGATTTTAACATTTCTGCACTGAATCTGATGATTATTTGTTCCATTTAAAATATGCCCATCAAAGTGATGGGACTTTACTAAGTCAGAACTAATACAAATCTCATTGGTTGAAATCCTATTTTGTAAATGATGTTGAAGACGTCTGATGACATCAGCAGTGTAAGATTTTTTTTCTTAATTCACACTTTCTCCCCCCAAAGTTTCCAAGGCTCCCAGGTAATCACTTTCATCTCAGGAAGCCAGTTGGAGCTATGAGATGGAAGGGGAGGAATTTTTAATGAATAAAAATTGCCGCTATCAGTAAAGTTACCTATCCAATGGTAATTTTTTTGGTGATTTGAGTCTTTCCCCTCTCATCCTATGGTCCCCAAAAATGCAAGTCATAATCCCGGGGACCGCACACAGGAAGAGAAATCAGAAGGGTTTCATTTCTGAAAAATTCTCATGTCATCAGCCTTACATGGTATGATTTATGTCAACAGGATTTCAGCCATTAATTCATTGGGTCTGTTCTAGTTGGAACGAACAGCTGGAGTTAGGCCGCAGTCTTTAATACACTGTTTTTGCTAGGTGGATCAATGCCATACATTGTCCAAATCCTCTTGTGTGTGCCCAGTTTCTCCTGTTTCCTTGCCATACCTAAGAGGACTGAAAATGAATTCAAATTGTCTGAGTCACCATATCTGCTGGATTGCACTTGTGGCAGCAAAGCCTGATGCCAGTTGGCTGGATAGGTGTGGCAGCCAGAACATTAATGAACACTTTGACGATTCAAGAAACAGGGCTGTCAACAACAGAATCTTTTGATTCCAGCTTCTGTAAAGGTAGGAGAAGACAGGTTTGGCCTTGATCCCATCCGTAGACGTGATCTGGGAACAAGCTGAAAAAAAGGAAGCTGGAATCCCATAACGTAGAGAAGTGAAGGGACTGATAATTGAACAATGAAAGCAACAAGCAAAAGTGGGCAGAGGGTTGAGGAAAATGTAGATAGAAGAAAGGAGGAGACAAAAAAAAAATCAACTGAAAGTCTGAGCTTCATTAGAGAGGGTCATGTAGATGCTGAAATGCCCCAAAATAGGAGAGGCTATGGGAACAGATAGGGGTTCAAAGAAGCCTGGCTTGGGTCAGGACAGGAAATTCTAGGATGTATATGAAGAGATGCCTGCTTGTTTTTCAAGTGCCATGTCCTCCATTGCTTTCATGTGTGTGTCTGTGTTGAGGGTGGAGCCTTTTGCCCTCAAGAATACTACAGCTCAATTATGGCTTCCTTAAACACTCCAAAGACTTCTTTGGCATTTTTGCTATTCATTATGTACAGGTTTTCAGTCTTAGATTCATGTACTGTATCTGAGAGCAAGAAATTGGCCTTCCGCACACAGGAAGAGACCAGGAAGATTCTGCATCTAATGTTTAGATTGCTGCCAGAGCATCTCATTGTACTACTAAAACACAATTACTTCTGTTAGTACATTACTATGTTAGTACATAGAAGACCTATATTCAAATAACCATACTTAAAGTCTTTGTAACACTGTTTGTGGAGCCTGGATTAGGACAGCATTGCTGGTTGGTATGTATTTAGGGTGCAAATACATTGCGAATGAAGAGGTGAATACCCAGCAACCAATTAAAAAATAATTTCAGAGTTGGTGCTGTAGGTGATACTAACAATTATCGGGGGGAAGCAGGGTGGAGAAGGAAAACTGTAACCATACATTTATAGGTTCATCCTTCTAGTTGCATGTACTGTATGCATGCTTTGCCCAGATATGACTCAGTAATTTTATAATGAGGCTTTGGGCAATTACAGCTTACCTTTTCAGTGCCACTATCTTCTTGCCAATGAAGTTACACCTTTGTTGCAGCTTCCCTTACTTTTCTCCGATGTTTCACATCATGGTGTCCTTTAGACACAAAACTAACCCATAATTTAGTATTTTCTAATGGGCCTTGGGGTTGCCCATTATCCTCCTGCTTTCCTTCCCCTCTGGTGTGGCTGTAAGGAACTCACCTGAATCTTTGACTTCTGTCTTCAGTCAGGCCAGAATCTCATGGATTGAGACTGATATAAGATCCTGACTTTTTCTGAATCAAATCATCATGACTTCACAGTTTAGACAAAACAGGGAAGATGTGACTGATTGGAGGATTTAGTATTGCATTTAAGTGTGCTCAGGTGGGACTGTAGTGTGGCTTATCCATACTTGGCTTAAATTTAATCAAAGCCCAGTCATCCAAATTGGATCATTGAATAACTAAAATTAGTTTAAAACTGTAAAACAGTAAGTGACACAGAAACATAATCTTATTCTCTCCTATAACACAGTGGAGCTCAGCCAAGGATTTTGGCAGCCCAAAGTTTAGTTTTGTTCGTTTAACACTAAGCCATATTGCAGATAAACAAGACCAGTAACTTTATATTCTGCTATAAGACCATTTTTTCCTTGCAACCTTTGGTCCCTTTCAGTTCCTTTTCTCTTATAGCAGCCACTGTGTTATTCAATAGTTTAAATGTGGAAGTGAGGAGGCAATATGGTTTTAATCCTTCAGTAGTATAACATTCTACCAGGCAGTTCTACTTGTCCAAACACAGTTCTGACAATTGCTTTGTATTTGGGTGACAAGTGGTTAACTGATGAAAAAAGGAGTCAGCGTCTGGGAATTTCCCTTGCTTGGTGTCACTTTGTGAATGGCAATGAGGACAAAAGGGTATCCTGTAGATTAATGGTCCTCAACCCTGGGCCTCCAGATGTTCTTGGACTTCAACTCCCAGAAATCCTGGCCAGCAGAAGTGGTGGTGGAGAAGGCTTCTGGGAGTTGTAGTCTAAGAACATCTGGAGGCCCAAGGTTGGGGACCACTGCTGTAGACCATCTTGACTGCTGCCATTGGTGTTGTCAACATTCAGGCTGCTCTTTGCTATGTAAAACCTGACATCCTTTTTCCTGCAGGCAATATGGGCACGATATTGCCCACAATACTGGGCCGTTTCCTGGAGTTTTGAATCATGACTACAGAAGCACAATATCCCATAATCATAAACTGGAGGATTTTTTAAAAGAACTGAATCATCTAACCTTGCTTCAAACTCTTTCTTTGTCTCCATCCTTTCTTCAGTGATGTGTGATGTTTGTCACAACTGGAACAGTCCCTTATGTGAACTTTTCTGTGTGAAAAGTTAATTGTCTTGTCTTTCTTTATTATATATTCAGGTCAAGAAGCATGGATCCGGAAACTGAAATGGCCCAAGCTGAAAAAATTCAGTGCACAAAGATGGCAGCCTTTGTATGCATGCCCAGAATCCACACAGACAGCAGCCTTCCATAAGTCCTATGATAACTTAGATTTCTTTTGGATCTTAAAGGCTGGGCACATGGTAAGCCACTTCTGTGCTTTGGAAGGAAAAATAGAATATTAATGTAAGCTTAATTGCTTTCTTTGCCTGAGTGTTTTTGTTGCAATCAATTAATTGGAATGATTAAGCAACTACTTAGGTGGCAGTAACAGCCACAGTATATAATTTTGTGAAGGCTTGTGGAACATTCCATTAAGCAAATGTGATGAGTTGGATGCAAAAATCTCCACCTATGCCCCAATGCAATATCCCTTAACCATTGAGCAAAAAAGAAAAGCTTTGTATTGTTACAGGGAATGAGGAACATGGGAAAGGGAGCCTTTTATTGACCTAGCTAGGCATTAGGAATGCTAGAAACTCACAGGTTGCAAAGGGCTCTTTTTCAGGTGTGCCTGAAACTCACAGGTTGCAAAGGGCTCTTTTTAAGGTGTACAGGCTGAAAGATTGATAGATAGATAGAGAGAGAGAGAGAGAGAGAGAGAGATGGGGATTTGATAGGCGAGGAAGGTTTACAGAAGAAAATGATTTCGTCTGGCCAGTGGTTGAGGGTTAAGGTCCTGCATTTGCCACATGGAGATAGAAAGGTGGAGCAGCCGTGCTGCCAATGAGCTCCTGCCGATTCAGGACAGGTGGTAGTAAGCAGGGATCTTCCATTTGAACAACAGACTATAAGAAAACTGGAGTCAGGCTCCTCGTGGGACAAGAAAGCGCTTAATAGGTCCTTCTGGATTGCACTGCAGATGGGTGGGCTTTGGATTTTGGTGGTTCCCCACCACCACCATCTTTCTGTCATTTGCCACAATGTACCAGCTTATACTCAAAGCAACCAACATGAATTTGACCCAACTCTGGGAGGCAGTGGAAGACAGGAGAGCCTGGCGTGCTCTGGTCCATGGGGTCACGAAGAGTCGGACACGACTAAATGACGATGACCAGCTTACACTGGTGACTTTGTTTCAATAGTGAGATGCCAGCTGGGTACATCCACTGATCCAGTCTCAGCAGATGCAAAGGAGCCAATTTATTTATTGGTTTTATTATTTGCTTAAAATATTTTTACCCTGCCTTTCTCCTTAAAAAGGACTCAAGGTGGCTTTACATCATTAAAAGAAAGTATTTAAGTTAACAAGAGTAAGTATACAGATACTGAAAAGGGTCAAACAAATGGCACTCTAGGAAATGGTAAACAAAAGCAACACAAAAGCCACATTCAAAGCAGTAAGGTCCTCCTACCCATTAAAAAACCCCAGTCCACAGCCAGCCATTCAGGGAAAGCTTGCCTGAAGAGAAAGGCTTTCATTTTGCTTGCATTTTAAGTGGATGAAGATATATTGCTTTTCACACGTATAAAACTGTGACTCCCCCACTGTTGCACAGTCCCTATATGCCCTCATGCTGCAAAGTTCTGGGAAACCAGCCAGAGCAGCATTTAAAGTGGCCCAGAGTGTTTAAGGGGAAGGAAAGCTTTTTGTCACAACAGGCAGGGGCGATGCATGGGAAAGGGGGGGGGAGAAATTGCCTCTCCCTGGATTCCCACACACCCTCATGTAGATTCTGCTCTCTGCCTTTAAATGGTTATGGCCCTGCAGTGAGCGATACCCAAAGTGTGGGATGGAGTGTCCTGTCTCTGAGAGTCTCCCCCTGCACTTTCTTTTCTGTACGTTGCCTAGTCTGTTGTGTTGTGTCCACCAGGAAAATCTGCCGGTACTCATAGGCACGTTGCTCTTCTCATTATCAGGTGCCAGCTGACCAAGGCGATATGGCGCTGAAAATGCTTAGGATTGTGACCCATCAAAGACACTAAGAGAGTTGGTGCCAGGCTGGCTTGACTTCCTCAGAACATCGCAAGTCCCGGCTGGATGTGTCTGTCTCTATTTTCCGTGCATACTGACCTGCAGGAAGAGGAGTTGCTGTTCAGCATCATCGTGGCTTTCTGCGGTCTGCAGGCATTCACAGCAGCATTTTAAGTGGATGAAGATACATTGCCTAGGACATGTACAGTATAAACCTGTGATGCTCTGCCCCGACTTTACTCAATGGCGCTTCAGAGTGATCAAGGATCCACTGCAGACTTAAAAATAAAGCTGGGTAATGCCGCCATTGGACCGCTGACAAGTTAGAAACAGGCAAACTTTTGAGTCTTGCAGAACTCTGCTTCGCTCTGAGCATTGCAGAATGGGATGCGGGAGGGGTGTGAAACAGAAAGTCCAAAAAGACCTGAGAAGTCCCTTTGACTTCACTGCTTGTGTCCTTCTCCTGTAGCTCTACAGCTTGACAAGAAGTATTGCTGGACTTGAAAACTCGCCTGTTTCTAATACAATCAATAAATGTATTACTTAGTTCTTATTTCTGCATTTTGTACAAGAACCACCAAGCTTTTTTCTTCTTATTTTGTTTGATCCTATGGGCCTGATTTCTGCTACACTGTCTTTTATTTTTGTTTTTTTGAGCAATAGAGAACTTTTGACCAACTTATGTTTACATATAACCTTTAATCCTGGTGCTGTACAGAGGAATAATGGGTAGATGTTCCTTATCAAATCAAAATGTCCAAAGTGAACTACTATGGTTACTTTCTATGGGTTCCCTCCACCCCCCAAAAAAATAAACTAAGGGCATGAAACATATATAACAAAGCCTCACTGTAGTTAGTCTCTTGTCTAGGCAGTTTCCAGACACCTCCATCCCTTGACAGAGCCACGAATATCCAGGTGGCTGGTAGTTCTGTGTATGTGTGTGTGAGAGAAAGAGAGAAATCGGGAATTGGGAAGGAAGAGGAAATGCAGACGTCTCTGCAAGCTGTGATACTTTTTTTTTTCTTACCAGCACTCTTACGTATGCTCAGAAAATAGGTCTTATTTTCTTGTGCCTTATAGGTCTTATAGACCTTGTCTCTGACCGTTTCCCTAAAGATACAACATTTCCTTAGCTGTAGCTTCATCTAAAACAGAGGCTTAGACCTGGCTGCCATCATATTTGGTGCAGTTTACTTTCCTAAAAAATGCTTAGGACTGCGGGCTTATACCTCAACTATACCTGCGGGAACAGAGAGCGTGAGGACAGGTGAAAGTGGAACCACCACTAGGGGGACATGGAAGGACAAAAACAGCAAAGCCCCAATAGACCAAAGTCTTTGAATGAAGAGGCAGGCCTGCTCCATCGCCTAAGGCCCAGGGCCGTCTGTTCTTCAGCAGTGCCTCCTTTTTCCCTGCTGGAATGTCATCCTTTTTTGAGTCGGTGAATGAAATTGTGGGTGTGCTTCCCACACGTGGCTGAGGAGGTAGTTGCAATCTTGAGCAAAAGGCCCAGCCGGAGGAGGGTAAAGGCACTGCCTAACCATTTCATCTCTTGTCTAGTTTCCCCACAACCACCTTGAAGCACCAGGGAGAGAGAAAAGAGACAACCATCTTTCCCCCTGCTTTGCAAAAAGGGGCTCAAGGTTTTGGGGGAAAAGAATGACGACAGATTAAAGTTTTTGAAGAAGCAGCCATGTTAGTCTGTGTGGCCGTATCGGACAAAAAGAGAGAGAGAGAGGAATGTTGTGGTGCTCACTATAAAGCAGCTAGTCTTCAAAGTACCACAGTGGTTTTGTCTATTTGTTTGTTTTTGTGTTTTTTGTTTGTTTTTTGCTTTTCTCTGCTAGACGGGCGAAAGTCTTAAGCTAGGGATGGGAAACCTATGACCTTCCCCCTGCTCTTGGACTCCAGCTCTTGTCATTCCGCAAGGCTGATGGAAGATGCAGCCCAAACACCCTTGGAAGGCTAACAGTACATCCTAGCATTACCACTGGAGTAAAGTCTTAACTGAAGGAACTTAACCATGCAACCATTCAGTCTTGGTGCCTGTGCAATTATTTAGTGCTTTTGCCGACTCTTGAGAACATATAGGAGACATCCTTATACTTGGCTCAGACTGTCCGTTTCTAGTCCAGTGTTGTCTTCTTGGACTGGTGACAACACTCTTCAGGAGACATCCTTATACTTGGCTCAGACTGTTTGTCCCTTTCTAGTCCATTGTTGTCTTATTGGACTGGTGACAACACTCTTCGTAGCCTCAGCAGAGAGAGGGCTATTGCTTGCTACCTGATATGTTTATCTGGGCAACAGCCAGGCTGAGGCTGGCATCTTCTTCTCCATTAGTGGTTCCCAACCTTGGGTAGCCCAAGTGTTCTTAGACTGCACTTCCCAGAAATCCTGGCTAGCCCAGGTAGTGGTGAAGGGTTCTGGGAACTGCAGTCCAAGAACACCTGAGTTACCCAGGTAAATCACGGTTCAACACAAGTATGTGTCCAGGATTTGAGCTATGATTCCTAGCTTCTAACAAATTGTTCAGATATCCAGCACAACTGTGTACTACCTAATTTTTGTCACTTACTCTTTCCTTGGGTTCCATGTTCTGTATCAAATTGGCCAGGCAGCGGTGAGGGGAGATGCCATTGTAACAAATTCTTCCATTTTGGTTTCCTTTTCACTGTTTACAAAACCATTGTGAATGAAACCAGGCTTTAAGTTTACCGTAGAAGCTTCATGACAAAATAAAATGGGAATATGAAGGAAATTGTCTTGCCTTATAAAAGAAGACATATACAGAAATCTTCCGTGGCAAACAGCTGTTCTGTGTTCTTATTCTCTGGTTGGGAAACTGACCTAACGATTTCCCAAGTCTAGATGATGGTACACTTCTTGAACAAATGAGCTTTCTAGGACAAGAAGTATATCTTCCTGAAAATGTGCTGGGGGGGGGGAGGCAAGGACTCTGAGTTGCTTTTGTAGGCAGTGAAACTGTTTACCAATCTCGAATGCATCTTTTATCATGACTCAGTAATAATAAAATTTTGGGGAGGAAACTGCATCTGTGTAATATATGTGTCATATACTGTACAGCTATTTCTTTCTAAAGCATAGTAAATATGAATATTGCTTTTAGCAATGCCTAATGAACATTTCAGCATATACATTCAACATATGTATGAATGTTTCATTGTCAGTCTGGATTTCAAAACACAGCTTCTGCCTTGCACTTAAAGGTGCCCATGGCTGAATCTAAGCCGTATTTTAGACACTGCCCGCTGCTTGTTTGGAATTGAGATGGAAACCTACCAACTCACAATGGTTCTATAGAGCAGTCCTCTTGGTTTAAACCAGTTAAAATAGCATATGCTGTGCCCCGCAGGGACACCTGTTATATTTTGGGGGTACAGAGGATGAAACAGTATGAACGACAGAATTAAACCGTTTGGGAAACTTGCCTTTGTTTGTTTTTCATTTGTTGCTCTAATCATGCTGGAATTGTGCCTGGACATGTCTGCTGATGTTTCATTGTTCCATTGGTTGGTGTCTTCATTTCCCGGCTTATCTCATTACTTTCTGCTATAGCTGGCAAAACCACACTAAAATATGTGCCATAAAATGAATTATGCAGATATGTTCAGATTTGCACTGGCTGCAGAATCCAGGGCTTTTGTGGGTAGCAAGGTGGGGTGGGTGGTGGGTGGGAGAAACTGTAAGGCATGGCCAGTCAAAGAGAAGACCATGTCTCAGATGCTGAAAATTCTACACAAAAGTAGAGAGCCTCTAAGTCCTTAAGAAATATTATAATAGAAAGTCACATACAAAGTATACCTCAAAAGCATTCTCATAAATAATATTGACAGTAATTATTTTATTGGCTATATCTTATCATGTAGCTGCTGGTGCCTCTAGATCAGAAATGTAGATTACCTACATGGGAACCTGTCTTTTGCAAAATTGTAGGGATGGATGAATTGGGCCAGTTACTTTGTTCCCACAGTTTTGGTACCCCCTTTCCCTTGGGATCAAATATTCCAAAGAGAAACCTTGCCATATCTAATTATATACATGTCCCCCTCATAGATGGATTTTTTGCAGGAGGCTAAGAATTTATTGGTTTCAGAGGGTGACTGATGAAGACGTGCAAAAGTGAATTAGTCAAGACCAAAGAAATAATCAGACACATGAAATGTGCAGGGATTGGTCACACAACCAGAGCTTAAAGTAAGGTTGTTACAGCTGATCATTCAAGGCTCAAATAAAACGAAAAAGAAGTGCAAGAAGGGGAAGAGTATACTGGTCGAAAAACTTCGATGCAACACAACATTCTTGGTAAGAGCAGCTGCCTCTAAAGTCAACATGGCCATAGTTTTGTCCCACCTTCAGTAAGAGAGAGGAAAGAAGATTGTGTTACATCTCCAAGTGAAAAGACGTGACAAAAGATTAAACTAAATACAGCCACATGCTATAGAAATCCTGAGCACATTCTGAAAACATCTGTTCTGATTTTTTTAGTAAGCACAAATTGAGGATCTGATACAGAATTCCTTCTGTGTGTTTACTCTTTCCCTATGGCATCTAATGTGCACGGCCACACGAGACAACCAGAAAAGAATTTTTATCTTTATCCACAGTGCCTGCATACTTCTGGCTGGGTCAGCTGGCATGAAATCTTGCAGTGGTGTTCGACATCTAGCTATTCATAAAGTTGCAATGAATCATTGAGCCGCATGGTGGAGTCAGGGGACTGCTATTCATGTATGATGGGAAGATACTCCCATAAAACAAAGAACAGCCTTCTCTCCCGGGCTGGCCTTGCCGTTGGGCAGAGTGAGACAGCTATACCTCTGGCAGCAGATGTTGAGTATTGGGAAACTGCCAGAAACAATTCATTACTTGTTGTAATGTTGTACATAGGTTTGAAGAGAAGTACTTGTGAGATTGTCTACCTCATGTGTCAGAATAAAGTGGTTGGCTTGGTCATCTGCACCTTGAAATGGGAGAGTGAGGGATGCCATCTGCCACTCTGCCTCAGGTAGTCAAGTTTATTGGATTTGGCCTGCTTGATTCTGGTGTGTGTGTGTGTTTGTGTTTTGTTTTGTTTTTGCTCGATAATGATGTTTTCTGTGGATGGGAGGGGAGGGAAGGGTCCATCAGAATGTGTTGTTCTTGTGTGCCATCAAGCTGCTTCTGTCTTACGGAAACCCTATAGGAATGAGCGAACTCCAATATGTCCTTCTCCTCAACTATCCTGCTCAGCTCCTTAAGATTCCAGATTGTGGCTTCCTTCAGGGAGTCAACCCATCTCATATTTGGTCTTCCTCTTTCCCTGTTGCCTTCCACCTTTTCCAGCATTGTCTTTTCCAGAGAATCCTGCCCAAAGTAGGACAGTCTCAGTCTCATTATTATTGCTTCCAGAGACAGTTCAGGCTTGATTTGCTCTAGGACTGACTTGTTTGTCTTTCTGGTAGTCCAGAAGCTGTCTTCCAGCATTAAATTTACACATGTGTTGTCATTGTTTAGTCATTTAGTCGTGTCCGACTCTTCGTGACCCCATGGACCAGAGCATGCCAGGCCCTCCTGTCTTCCACTGCCTCCCAGAGTTTGGTCAAATTCCTGTTGGTAGCTTCGCAGACACTGTCCAACCATCTCGTCCTCTGTCTCTCCCCTTCTCTTCTTGCCTTCACTCTTTCCCAACATCAGGGTCTTTTCCAGGGATTCTTCTCTTCTCATGAGATGGCCAAAGTATTGAAGCCTCAGCTTCAGGATCTGTCCTTCCAGTGAGCACTCAGGGTTGATTTCCTTCAAAATGGGTAGGTTTGTTCTCCTTGCAGTCCAGGGGACTCTCAAGAGCCTCCTCCAGCACCACAGTTCAAAAGCATCAATTTAGATGTTCTCTACTTTGGAAAAATGCTATGTGCAAAGCAGCCCGTATTATTGGCACATGACCAGCATAGCTTCCCAGGGTCATGTTTTGACTCCCTGCCCCATCCTTCATCTTCCCTGATCCTCTTGGGTTTCATTGTTTGAAATGCAGGTATGTGTTTGATGTTATTTTTATGATCCATTTCATGGGTGTATTATTTTGTTAGCTATCAAAGTAGTGGCAAAATTTATCACCTTTGCAGCCTACCTTCTCTCAAGGGAACCAGGATGGCCTACCGGGGGAGGGGTTGGGGATTTGGGGAAGATTTAGCCCTACAAACACTTCATTAGGTAGATGAAGCATGACTGTTTTAGTGCTGCAAGTGGGATATCTAAAGGCAAACTTGCATTTATCTCATGCAATGAGAATCCTGAGCTGTCCTGTAGCTCTTTTATGTCACTATGAGGAAAATGTGCAAGTTCCCCCTTGATGCCACTGTGCCAGAATGGGGTCAGGGGAAGCGTCATTTGCAAAGCAAGTTTCCCTGAAGCTTTCTAATAACATGGGCATAATGGAGTTATATTTCAAATGCAAGGGAATGACCAGTTACAGCACTGACTCAGTGCAATGAGTAACATAGTCTAATTATCTTTATAAGGTCTTTGCGCAGGCAATGTGGCAGTAAATGTTCAGGTTTTATGCTGTCCTCTATTTAAAATCATCTGTGATGTTTGATGTTGGAGTAAACAGCCTAGACTTTGCCAGGGGAGGAAGAAGAGAAGAAATGCAACAGATCAGTGTCAAGAGACAGCCTTCCTCCACCTCATACTTCCCATGTTTTGGGGTACATGTCCCACCATCCCTAGGCAGTCATCAGATTGTGGGATTTGTATGCAACTGGATATTTGCCAGGTTGCAGGAAGCAACTTAAATTTCTAGTAGAGTACTTTTGGAGGATCCAACCACAAAATGCGCTGTATGGGGGAGAGGCATGCAAATTTGTGAACTACAAATCCCATAAGTCACCAGATAAAGTATTAAACACCATTTTCCATGATCAATCCTATGATTTCTAGCATTAACATCAGTGATTAACATAATGGCAACTAGCAAGGTGTTGTTGTTTTTTTAAAAAATCCCCATCCAGTGTTAAAGTAATTGGATTAAATTGTTGAGCTTAATAATGTTTACCAGGTCAAGCCTTTCCAATAGCTGGATAGACCAATGACTTGACTTGGTATAATTTCCTAGTACAGAAGTAGCCCCCCCCCTTATCCTCAGGGGATCATTTCCATGATCTACCGTAGATGCCTGAAACCATGGATACAAGTGAACCCTATATACAACACACAAGGTAGCAGTAGAAAAGCTACAAGGGGGTGCCCTTGTATGTTGCATATAGGGTCGTGGCAGACTATGGGTAAGTAAGCCCATGAATATCCTCCTGTAGTATTTTTGTGTTCAATAAAAACAGATCCTAGGATTGATTTTGTAGCTCACCCATAAACAAGGACACTGTACTGAAAGAAACTTTGAAGAGCCAAGTTTGACTGTTTTGAATCCTGGCACATCAGAACTCCCTAGGCCTTCACTGAAGAGTCCTGACACTCAAAATTAGCTTTATTGGTTTGGAAAAGGAATTGAACTAGAGCCACCATAGAAAATGATGCATTTGTTGTTATCCTCTTCTTCACAAAAGATTCATTCATTCATTCATTCATTTATTCATTTATTCATTTAACTTATATGCCGCCCACACTACCCAAAGGTCTCTGGGCAGCTTACAACAATTAAAATTCAACTAAAATACAATAAAAGATAAAATGATTAAAGTACAATTAAAATTGTCATCAGGACCCACAGTTGATGTTATTTCAAGTAAAAGCCTTCTGGAACAGGAAGGTTTTGACCTGGCGCCGAAATGTCATCCATGTCGGCGCCAGACGAATTTCAGTCAGGAGGGCATTCCATAGTCTGGGGGCAGCTGCCGAAAAGGCCCTTTGTCTGGAAGCTGTCCCTCTTACCTCCTTGAGGGACAGCTCTTTCAAAAGGGCCCCCAGGCTAGATCTTAACTGCTGGGTCGGCTCATATGGAAGGAGGCGGTCCTTCAGGTATCCAGGGCCCAAGCCGTTTAGGGCTTTATATGTCAAAACAAGCACTTCGAATTGGACCCGGGCAGCAACTGGTAACCAATGTAACTTAAACAGAATTGGCTTGATGTGTTCTCTATGTGCTCCCCAGTGTTGGATGGTACACATACAGTGGGACTGGAGCAACGTTAACTTTTGCATTTTAACCCTTTGAGACTCGGAATGGTTATCTGAGCATGCTTCCCCCTTTGTAAAGGGAATCACCTCCTCACTTCTAAGAAAATAAGAAGGCTTTTGTTCCTTAGAGAAATACACTTGGGATAGGAAAGGCAATAGAAGTCCTAGATTTAGTTAATTCATTTCGAGATTTCAGGAGCCACGGCTGCCTATGTCATTTCTAGAGACTAGAGGTAAGACGTCTCCTCCTTGGTGGGACAAAAGCGAGGTGTGAGAAGGAAGTGACATCAAACAGCCCTAAGAATAGTAATCTAAGCCCAAAGGAAGGACAGTCCAGGTCAGAGCACATAAAGGACAGTCTAGGAAACCTAAACAAGTTCTCTCTACTTTTCTCTATGCAAAGATAAGCATCTTCTCAACTGTACTTCCAATATCCAGAGGGAACAGAGCATGGAAATGTATTAAAATATGTTGCTATTGAGTGTTGAAAGGCAGGGGTATGGTTTGATTGGAATTATTTTGTCTTGCAAACCACTATCAATTTTCTGTAAGCTGATTTGTAACCTGTCTAATTCTCTTTGTGTCAGGATATTTTAAAATACTTATACATGTTTGTATTTGTCCAAACAGTAAAGCATGAAAATTGGGGCAATAAATGACACTGACCTGAGAAGGGGATTGATGCTCGGAACTATCAAGTATTGCTTGACCTCCAGTGTGCAGGCAAGGCTCACACTCTTTCCTCCCACCCCTGCCAGGAGTCACGTTATTTACTCCCTTTCCTACTCCCAACTCTCCAAGAACCCATCCTGCAGTAGCTGGGCATTATTACTCCATTACTCACCTTGGGTGCCTCTAAAATGAAAACTTCTGTCTGAATTTTTAATGTCTAAAGCACCAAAGCAAAAGTTGGCACTTTGAAGAGACCCAGTGAGCTCTGGATGCCCCTTTGGTCTTCCTCAGTTCCCTTCAGAAAGGTTAAGAAACAGACTAATACTCCATTTTGTTTTCCAAATAAGCTTCATATTTGAAGGACATTCCTATTGGGACGCAACCCAAACTATGAGCAAGAAGGTCAACAGCCTTGAAGGGATGCATTTAATACACAGCCTGTTGTGACGCTAGCTTCACATTTTCTAAAGAAAGAGGGAATGACATTGATGGAAAAACATCTAGCTGAGAAAGAAATCAAGCAAGTGTTGAGAACACCAGAGGGCCTCAAGGAGAAATGTCTCCTTCCCAGGCAC